AGGAGGAGGAGGAGGAGGAAGAGCATGAGGAGGAGGAGGAGGAGGAAGAAGAGCATGAGGAGGAGAATGAGGAAGAGCAGGAGGAGGAAGAGCATGAGGAGGAGGAGGAGAATGAGGAAGAGCAGGAGGAGAAAGAGAATGAGGAAGAGCAGGAGGAGGAAGAGAATGAGGAAGAGCAGAAGGAGGAAGAGGAGGAGGAGAGGAGGCGGAAGATGGGTGACACCACCTGGCTATGGCCGCAGCAGCAGCGGGGAAGGAGGCCTGCAGGTGGAGGACGCGGGTTTGAATCCCCCTCCGCCTTCCTTGCTGGGTCATGTTGGGAATGACAGGAAGCGTTTACTAAGAGAACAGCCAGCGCCTTCACACCTGTCATCCCAGATAGAGGGGAGGCTGAGGTCTGAGGATCCTGGTTCGAAGCCAGCCTGGGCAGGAAAACCTGTCAGATTCCCATCTCCAGTGAACTACCAAGAAGCCAGAAGTGGAGCTGTGGCTCGAGTGATGGAATGCCAGCTTGAGTGAAGAAGCTAAGGGCAGAGCTCATGACCTGAGAAAAAAGAAAGAGGCGCAGAGCACAAGCACTACCAGCCAGCGGGTGGGCCAGGGGAGGAGGTGTGGGGAGGGGAAGGGGCCATGCCCACTCTGCCCTCCCCCCACCCCCCACCCCGCCCCCAGCCTGCTTCCCCCAGAGCTGAGCACCAGCCACCACCCTCAAATCCCAAACAGGAAAGTCTGACCTTGCTGTTTTCTAGTCTTGTATTTATTTGCTCTCCTGAAACATCATTTGGGGGGAAAATACTTAAATATAAGAAATAGAGGTACACTGGTGGCTCACACCTGTCATCCTAGCTACTCAGGAGGCTGAGATCTGAGGATCACGGCTCACAGCCAGCCCGGGCAGGAAAAGTCTGTGAGACACTTATCTCCAGTAAACCACCAAGAAGCCAGAAGTAGATTGTGGCTCAAGTGGTACAGTAAAAAAAAAAAAAAAAGCTCAGGGACAGTGCCCAGGCCCTGAGTTCAAACCCCAGGGACTGGCACAAAGAAAAAGAAAAAAATGTAATGATTGCTCATATTTTCAACACCCATATTTACTTTTGTGAAGGAATAAAACATTAGAGATAAGGCTGAAGTCCCACCTCCCAGCTCCTACAGATGACTAATGACTAGGTGCATACACATCCTGTCTTTGTGTGTGTGTGTGTGTGTGTGTGTGAGAGAGAGAGAGAGAGAGAGAGGGAGAGAGAGAGGGAGAGAGAGAGAGACATTCCCAAGGCTTGAACATAGGGCCTGGGCACTGTCTCTGAGATTTATTTTATTTTATTTTTATTCAAGGCTAATGCTCTGCAGCTTAAACCACAGCGTTGCGTCCAGCTTTTTTGGCTGTTGATTGGAGATAAGAGTCTCAGGGATTTTTCTGCCTGGGCTGGCTTTGACACATGATCCTCAGAATTTAGCCCCCTGAGTAGCTCAGATGACAGGTGTGAGCCACCGATGCCTGGCTCCTGGCAGTTTTAAACCATGTAACCTACCTGTTGGGACAGTCCCTGTATGAGGGCATCCAGTGTAGGTTTGATTTTCCAGCATGGTATATCTCATGATTCATATTGTTCTCCAACTTGTCTTTTGAAATCATCTGTGATCACACACACACACACACACACACACACACACACACACGCTGGGTATGCGTGATTGCTGGTGGGAAGGCACAGCCGGAGGTGCCATTCCGGGGCCCCGCGCCCGCTCACCTCTCTATTTTCGCACCTGTAAAACGTGTGCACGCCCGACCCCCCTGGTTCCTGGGGCGAGCTGGGCCTGCCCTGCGGTGGAGGCGCCCAGGCCGCCGGACCCGGGGCGAAACCTGCAGGGACACCGCCATCTGGTGGCCGCTCCGGGGCACTGCAGGGCCGGGCCGCGGCTCCCCGCTGTCTACGGGGTAAAGTCCGAGGGCCCAGCCTGCGAGGTCCGGGCCTCCGCCGCCGCCCCGCCCGGCCCGGCCCGGCCGACCTCACCCGCGCCGACCTCCGGCCCCGCCAGGCGCGGCTCCTCCCCGAACCTCAGAGCCCACTGCCGCCCGCCTGGCCTGCCTGGGCCTGGGCCCCTGGGCCCTCCCCCTGCCCTCGTCCCGACCCTCACCCCTGCAGCCCCTGCAGGCTCCGCTCCTGTGCCACCTCTCCCAGAAAGGCCCCCAGGCGCCTCCAAGCCCCTCAAGGCTGAGCTCCCTGGTCAGGCTGCATTGTTTCCTACCAGGAGATCAGGTGTGCAACAAGCCCTACACCCAGCCTCCAGCCCTACGCCCAGCCCTACACCCAGCCCTATACCCTCCCTACACCCAGCCTCCCCCCTACACCCAGCCTCCAGCCCTATGCCCAGCCCTACACCCAGCCCCCACCCCTACACCTAACCTTATACCCAGCCTCCAGCCCTATACCCAGCCCTACACCCAGCCCTACACCCAGTCTCCAGCCCTATGCCCAGCCCCACACCTAGCCCCCAGCCCTACACCCAGCCCTACACCCAGCCCTACACCCAGCCCCACCCCTACACCCAGCTTCCAGCCCTACATCCAGCCCTACACTTGGCCCCCAGCCCTATGCCCAGCCCTACACCCAGCCTCAGCCCTACACCCAGCCCCCAGCCCTACACCCAGCCCCCAGCCCTACACCCAGCCCCCAGCCCTACACCCAGCCCTACACCCAGCCTCCAGCCCTACACCCAGCCCTACACCTGGCCCCCACCTCTACACCCAGCCCTACATCCAGCCTCCAGCCCTACACCCAGCCTCCAGCCCTATACCCAGCCCTACACCCAGCCCCCACCCCTACACCCAGCCTCCAGCCCTACACCCAGCCCTACACCCAGCCCCCAGCCCTACACCCAGCCCCCAGCCCTACACCCAGCCCTACACCCAGCCCCCACCCCTACACCCAGCCCTACACCCAGCCTCCAGCCTGTCATGGGAACCAGATACCCAAGGGCAGTGCGCACAGGGGACTGGAAATCCGGTGTAAAGCTTTCTTCCTGGACGTTGCAAGGTGGTCCTGTGCACTGCTGCAGGGGCAGATGCAGCGTTCCGGGTCAGTACTCATGGGCCTAGTCACCTACAGCTGACACCCATGGCCTCTGCCACCCCTGGGTGCCCGGCGCCCCTCCCAGCTGCTCCGCCTCAGCCCCCTGCCCTCTCAACTTGCACACAGCCCCACCAAGAAAGGTGCTTTCTGGGCTCCGCTTAGTGCCTGGTTTTTTGCCTGGGGGGGGGGGGTTGATTTGTGACTTAACTGTTGTGAACGGTGCAGTCACAGCGGTGACTCCGGATGGAGGGAATGTGTGCCTGATACGGCTCTGGGCAGGCGGTGGCTCCAGTGCCAAGCGTTGTCTTAATGAATCAACAGCTGATAGTCTATCAGGTGTCTTTAAATAGAAACGTACATACAACAAGGTCAGGGCCTGGTCACAGGACACGCAGATTCAGGGCTGGCAACGAGAGCAGAGACCACACGCATGCTGCCATGCATGCAGATATTAAGTACAATTCAGAAATTAAGCCCTGGCCTAGGAGAGATATATATGGAAATGCCACGCATCCGATTTTATATATGTGAGACTTTCTGTGCCGGGACTGGGGCCTAAACTCAGGGACTTGCACTTCTGCCTGACTTTTTCAGCTCAGGGCTGGTGTTCTACCACCAGAACCGTACCTCCACTCCTGGCTTTGCAGGAGTTAATTAGAGATAAGTTTCATAGACTTTTCTTCCCAGGCTAGCTTTGATCTATGATCTTTGGATCTCAGCCTGGAGCAGTAGGTGGGATTACAGGCGTGAGCCATGGACAACGGGCTTTGATTTTTTTTACTCTTTCATTATTTTTTATTGTAAAGATGCATGCATGTATTTTTTTATTACCTTTCAGTGGTTGCACAATAAGTTCCTTTCTACAAAACCATGTGTGAGCACCGGGCGTCTGGCACTGTCAGCCACCGCTCCTAACCCACCCCTTTGCTCGTTCTATTTATTTATTTTGGTCAGTCTGTCCCTCAGCTCTTCAGCTCAAGGCGAGCACTTTACCACTTGAGCCACGGCGCCACTTCTGGCTTTTTCTGTTTCTGGGGTGCTGAGGAATCGAACCCAGGGCCTCATGCATGCAAGGCAAGTGCTCTACCACTGACCACCTTCCCAGCCCCACTTTCTTTTTGATTGAGGTCAGGTGATTGCATACATTTCACTGCTTCACAGTGTAGTGATTCTTAAGGCACAAACACCTTTTAACCTTCCCATTGGCTACCTTTGATTTTTAGGAACTCTAATGCAGGCCAGGGGCCGTGGCTCACGCTGTGATCCCCACACATCCCGGAGGCTGAGGCGGGATGGGCCGAGCTCCGGGCCAGGCCGGGCGCACAGGGAAACGTTCTGAGGATCGCGGTTTAAAGCCAGCCCGGGAGGAAAGTCCGTGAGGCCCTGATCGCCAATGAACCACCCGGAAACCGGAAGCGGCGCTGTGGCTCGCGCGGTGGAGCGCTCCCTGGCGCTGCAGCGCGGAGGGGCAGCGCCCAGGGCCCGAGTTCGAGCCCCACGACCGGCAGAACCACCCCCACCCCCGTGCAGGTGATCCAACGTCCGGGATCCGCACGCCTGGGCGTCCCCGACTTTCCAGGGCGCCGACCCGGGGTGAGGGGTCCCAGGCCGGGGTACGGGGGCCCCAGGACCGTCCATGCCGAGCGCAGGTGCCCAGCGGCCGTGGCGGGGGCCGCTCCGGGCAGTGGGGCGCAGGGCCCGACCCGGACCGGGCTCCCGCCGCCCGCCCGGGCCGCCGCATCGAGCAGCAGACGGCCGCGCTGCCCCGCGACGCCCTCGCGCACGCGCGCGCGCACCCGCTGACCCGGCAGCTGGGGCCCGAGGTTGTCCGCGGGAACCGCGGGGGCTCGGGGACCCGCCGCGCGCAGGCGCACTGCGCTCGGCCGGGCGGGCGCTCCGCGGCTGCGCGCTGGGCTGCTTTTGCGACCGCTCTGCTTGACGGCAGCGGCGTCGGCCCCCCGGGCACCGGCGTTACCAGGTAACGGCCGGCGCGCGGGGAAGAAGCAGGTGAGGCTCGCGGGCGGCGTGGGGAGCGGGAAGGGGTCCCGCGGCCGGGCCGCACGGCGGGAGCGCCGGGCCCCCTGCGCCCCGCGGCCCTCGCCTCGGGGCCCGCGAGGCGCGGGCTGGGCCGCAGCCGGGCCGCTCCGGACGCGCCGGGCCCCGGCCCGCGGCTCGGGCTCTCCGGGCCTCGCTGTCCCTGTGCCTGTGCGTGCACCCCGCCTGGAGCCTCTCCCGACCCGGGGTGGTGGACGGATGCTCCCCGCACCCATGGCAGCCCCCCCCCACGGCCCGTGGCTGCGGAGACACAGCCCTCCGCCCTCCGCCTCCCACCTCGGCCCGGGACAGCCTCTTGTGGGGTGTCGGCTCAGCCGCCCTCGGTGAGCAGGAACTCTGCCTGTGAGGGAGGGTCCTTCCGTCTCAGGAGCCCCCCCCCCCCCCCAGGCAGGACCGACCCTTGCAGCGGTCAGTTTTTCTTTTTCTTTTTTTTTGGTCGGTCCTGGGGCTTGAACTCTGGGCCTGGGCGCCGTCCCTGCGCTCTTCAGCTCAAGGCGAGCGCTCTACACACTTCGGTTTTCTGGTGGTTCTTTGGAGGTCAGAGTCTCATGGACTTTCCTGCCTGGGCTGGCTTTGAACCACCATCCTCAGATCTCAGCCTCCTGAGTAGCTGGAATGACGGGTGTGAGCCGCCGGCGCCCAGCTCCGTTTTTCTAAGTGATAGATTTATTTTATGCTAGTCCTGGAGCTTGAACTCAGAACCCAGGTGCTGTTCCTGAACTTTTGTGCTCAAGCCTGGCGCTCTACACTTGAGTTACAACTCCACTTCTGGCTTTTTGATAGTTCATTGGAGAGAAGAGTCTCATGAACTTTCCTGCCCCGTCTGCCTTCCAACTGCAATCCTCAGATTTCAGCTTCCTAAATTGCTAAGATTACAGGTGTGAGTCACCAGCACTCAGAAGGTTTATTTGGGGGGGGGGGGATTGGGTTTGGGGGGATTTTTTTTTTGTCCTAAGTCCAGCACTCAAACTCAGTACCTGATGGTTGCTTTCATTTGTTGGCTGGCACTTTATGACCAGAGCCATGCCATCAACCCCAAATAGTGTGAGCATGCAATGTGCATGCTCCACTCTCTTTATACACACACACACACACACATATATATACACACAGACACACACAAAAAATACTTTCTGACTTACCTTTTAAAATGTACAGTTCAGCGGCCTTAGGGTTTAAAGATGGGCAGCAGCCCTATGAGCAAATTTTAGAACACTTCATCACCCCAAAATAAACCTCATCTGTCTCAGTCGCTGCCACTTCTCTGTCTGTTCAGCCAGGCAGCCACTCACCTGCTGTCACAGTCTGCTTATTCTGGATGCTCTATATTAAGGCCTCACATTTGGTCCTTTCCATCTGTGTCTTTGACTTAGTCTAATGGTTTCAAGGCTCATCCACGTTGAATGTATTTGAACGCATTCCTTTTTGTGGCCAAATAATATGCCATTGCGAGGATAGACCATCTATTGTTCGTCAGTCATCTCTTGATGGACATTTGGACGTTTTCTCCTTTTTTGGCTGTTATGACCAACACAGCTGTGAGCATTCATGTACAAATGTTTCCATAGACACGGGAGTTCACTTCTCTTGGATCCGAATCTAGGGGCACAGTTCAATTGTTGGATTTCTTGGAATGTCTTGAAGTGAGCTGTCAATTTGTTTTTTTTTAATTCTGAATGCTGTATCCAGGTCAAGGAGGACTTAGGCTAAGCTGTGAAGGTGGCACTGAGAAAAGCCCAGTTGCTCCGAAAGCCCCTCGGTGGGTGCCTGGCTGAGGAGGCGCGGGAGGCCCCGTGAAGGCGCCATCCTGGTGGGCGTTTGTCGTGGGGCCTTTGTCCCAGGAGACCCAGCACTGTGATTTCACAGCCAGGCCTCCATGTTGTCACTTTCCCTTGGAAACGCCACCAGTGACTTCTTGGGGTCCTGAGCTGGAGAGCAATGTCCCTGGTGTCTCACGTGTACCGGCCAGTTCTGTCTTCCAGCTAATTATTGGATACATATGTAATTCACAGACAGAAGGTGCTGGAGCCTGGCAATCTTAGCTCAGGTTTTCCATGTCATTATTGTTTGCTTTTCTTTTTCCTTGTCTGCTCTCTAAAGAACACAGCCCTGAAGAATGGCAGAAGCAGTCTTCCATGCCCCAAAGAGGAAAAGAAGGGTGAATGAGAGCTACGAGTCTCCGTTGCCCATCCCGTTCTGGCAGGACCCCGGTCCCAGGCAGGGATGCCCACAGCTCCACGCCGAGCTCATCAACAGCAGGGTGATCGTGAGGCGCTCGGAGGACATGAAGCAGCTGTACGGGAAAGTAAGTGCGGCTGCCTCCTGCCCGCCCTGAGCCCGCTGCCCTTCGCCAGCTCCCAAGCGGTGCCACCCACCCCCAGAAGCTCCAGAAGTCATACCACTCACCCGAATCCTGCCGGGAGCCAAGCAGGGTGGGGTCACCTTTGTCAGATTAGCCACTCACAGCCCACTCACTGAAATGGGGTCAATGGCTTGACCTTCGTGGTTCAGTTATGAAAACAAGGCCAAGTAGTTTGTGGAGGTGTGGAAATGACCCTCACTCACCTGCCTTCTGTCCCCAGAGGAGTGGGTTCCAGGAGCCCAGCTGGGGCGATGGAACGGTGGGAGGGGCCTTCGAATGTTCTCAGTCCTCTTTCTCTCTGTGTGCTCGAAGGAGGCCAGGTTTGGTGTTGGCTGTTCTCCAGCAGAGGTGGTTTTGGCGGGGCACTGGTAGCATTTTGGTGGGATTTACAAGCACGGCTGACTAACCATGTGCCCTTTTCCCCAAAGGGCTACTTTGGAAAAGGCGTTCTTTCCAGAAGCCGGCCATGCTTCACGGGTTCAGATCCTAAGCTGGTTGCCACATGGAAAGGTAAAGTTGAACAGCAAATCTTCATTTCCTTTCATCTGTGACCTTGCACCTAAAATTGGATGATGAGTTCTAAAGGAGAAGTAAGAAGCTGGGGCTGGGAAGTTGGCTCAGTGGTAGAGTGCTTGCCTTGCATGCCTGAGGCCCTGGGTTCAATTCCTCAGCACCACATAAGCAAAAAGAAAAAAAGCCGGAAGTGGTGCTGTGGCTCAAGTGGTAGAGCGCTAGCCTTGAACTGAAGAGCTGAGGGACAGCGCCCAGGCCCAGAGTTCAGGCCCCACAACCGGACCCAAAAAAAAAAAAGAAGCACACTGACAGCTTACCACTGCCCCAGAAGAGCAACTAGGAAGTCTCATCTGGGTGCTGGTGGCTCACATTTTCCATGTAATCCTAGGTACTCAGAAGGCTGAGATCTGAGAATCGAGGTTCAGAGCCAGCCCAGGCAGGAAAGGTGTGAGACTATTATCTCTAGTTAACCACTAGAAAACTGGAAGTAGTGCTGTTATTAAAGTGGTAAAATACTAGCCTTGAGCCCCTGGACTTTGTGGCTTGTGTCCAAGCTGTTCACAGACTCTTTCCTCAGCCTCACCAGGTTTGACTTTTTTTTTTTTTTTTTGGGGGGGGGTCTGGTCGTGGGGCCTGAACTCTGGGCTTGGGTGCTGTCCCTCAGCTCTTCAGCTCAAGGCTATCGCTCTACCACTTGAGCCACAGTGCCACTTCTGGCTTTTTTCTTTTTTGCTTATGTGGTGCTGAGGAATCGAATCCAGGGCCTCAGGCATGCAAGGCAAGCACTCTACCACTGAGCCACCTTCCCAGCCCCCCCCTTTTTTTTTAATAAAAAATAATCCTAATAGATGCAAACTTTTTAATTTTATCTATTTTTATCTAGTTTATTCTTTCATCGCTTGTACTTTTGGTATCATATTTTTAAAAATTGCCAAATCTAAATCATGCAGATTTGCTAATTTTCTTCTAAGAGTTTAATCATTTTAGCTCCTCTGTTTAGATTTTAGGTCCATTTTGAGTTAATTTTTTCATGTGGCATAAGATGAAGGTTCGGCTTCAGCTCTGCCTGGGAATCTCTCATTATTTCAGTATATGAACTTACTTTTTTAGGGGAAGAGTGGGCTTTTGGTGTGGTTTAGTTGGTTGGTTGGTTTGGTTTTGTTTTTGATAGCCCTAGGGCTTGACCTCAGCCCGGACACAACCCACTTCTAGGAATTTATCTTAAAGATAAACTAGAAAAAATGGGGAAAGTGTTTATTGTAACACTGTTTTTAATATTCAAAGAATAAGAAAAATCTAGACACCCTTTAAAGGGACCAGTAACAAAAACTAGTGTATTGGCATAATACAAAGCCTAGATCGGAGCCACAAGAAATACTGCTTAACAGAGTAAAGTCCTCGCTGAGCGATGGTTTATCTAAAAAGGGAATAGTAATGTATGTTGAAGATGAAAGCACTTGAGAGGTTTGTCTAACTTTATTTAAACATCAGACATGTAGACACATATTGAAACATCATGTTACCCCATTAGTAGTTACAATTGTTACGTTTTTATGGGTTACAATTGTTACGTTTTTATGGGTTTTGATTTTGTGCCAATACTGGGACTTGAACTCAGGGCCATGTGCTCTTGCTTAGCATTCCTTCCTCACCTCAGCTCAAGGCTGATACTCTACAACTTGAGCCATAGCTCCACCTCTGGCTTTTTGCTGGTTAACTGGATATAAGAGTCTCTCAGATTTCTCTTCCCAGGCTGGCTTCAGCACTCCTCAGCTCTCAGCCTCCCAAGTAGCTAGGATTACAAGTGTAAACCACCCAGGTGTTATGTTTTCATGCCCCAGTTGAATATTAATTTGGATTAGATGCATGGCCTAGTGGTAGATTGCCTGCCTAGCAAGTATTAGGCCCTAAGTTCAAACCCCAATATCACCACAAAGAAAATTAACTTTAAAAATAAAAACAAGAGCCAGGCGCCAGCGGCTCACGCCTGTCATCCTAGTTACTCAGGAGGCTGAGATCTGAGGATCTCAGTTCAAAGCCAGCCTGGGCAGGAAAATCTGTGAGACTCTTATCTCCAGTAAGCCACCAGAAAACCGGAAGTGGCACTGTGGCTCAAGCAGTAGAGTGCTAGCCTTGAGCTGAAGAGCTGAGTGGACAGCGCCTAGGCCCAGAGCTCAAGACCCACGACTGACAAATAAAAGCAAAAGGATAAGTTGATGTGGTGGTGTGTGCTTATAATGCCATCACTGTAGAGAAGGAGTGCAAGTGCGAGGCAGCCTGGGTTCGTAGTGAGAGCCTGTCTCATAAAAAACAAGGATAAACCATTGTTTTAACTATGCCTAGGAGAAGGAATGAAACAGGTGGGAAAGAGATGGGACTTGGAAGTCTTACAGATATATAATTATAAAACGAAGCTTTTTTCCAGAAACTCACCTTTCTAGGGAATTTGTGAAATAAATGACAAGCATGTGGGTAGTTGGGTAACCCCTAGCGAATTATTTGAAGTAAATACCTTCATGGATGGATAGATGGATGGACGGATGGATGGATGTAGAGATAACAGTTTTGCTGTGTAACAAGGGCTAGCCTCCAACTCCCAATCCTCCTCTTAACACAGCCTCCCAAGTGCTGGAATCCCAAGCATGCACCACCATGCCTGGCTGTTACATAACTTGAAAACATAGAACTTTAGCTCTTTAGTCCTGGGATAAACTTTGCGTCCATTTCTCTTGCCGCAATGATGCTGATGCCATTTGTAAAGCAGCCACGTTGATGGCTGTGCACAGCAGCCTTTTGCTCTCTAGACCGCAGGTTTGCCTGGAGGTCTCTGACCCGAGGGTAGTGGGTGGTGGAGAATTGACCAGCCTCAAGACAGAGAGAGAGGACCAGAACTGAAACCCAGATCACTCAGCAACCCGATGAGCACTTTAGAAAATGAGACCCATCGAGATTTCTCGAGCTGGAGCTCGAGCCTATGCTTCCCAGGTCTGTGCCCACGTCCCCACCCTTCCCCGGGACAGGGGCCTGTGCTCTGCTCTCCACCTGGCATTCGCCCAAGTGGTTGGATGTGATGGAGAGGTGCCCTTCTCCCGCTGCCACTGCTGAGCTGGGGTGCAGAGTTGAGGGTCTGGGGAGCCCAGCGGCAGGGGCCAGGTTGATTGAAGCGCTTGCCAGGCTGAGTGCAGGGAGGCATGGCCAGCAAAACAAGTACGCACACTCACCTTCCAGCTGTGTGCCTTTGTAAACCTGACGTCATCTCGGACACTAATAGACCGTGTTTGTTGTTGCAGACATGAAGACACGCATGCCTATAATCACGTCAAAGAAGTAAGTGACCTGAAGCTTGGCTTTCCTTATAGTTATAGCTCAAATAAGACTCTTAGGTAGCCTTTTTCACATGCAAGGTTTTTTCTTGTTTTGTTTTTGCATAGACAGGTTTTAGAGAATCTGAGTTTTATGTGGCTCAAATCATATTTGAAATACATTAAGTGAACTCTCTGCTTTAATTTACTTACATTTAATACTTTGTTAAATGGTGACTTAAGTTTTATCAAATGAAGCTCTTAAAAAAAGCCGGGCACCAGTGGCTCACACCTGTAATGCTAGGTTAGGAGATTCGAAGCCAACCTAGGCAGGAAGGTCTGTGAGACTCTTATCTCCAGTTAGCCATAAAAAGCAAGAAATGGAGCTATGGCTCCAGTATTAGAACAAATAGTAGCCTTGGGCAAGACAAAGCTCAGAAACAGCACTCAGACCCTGAGTTCAAGCCCCAGGAACAGCACTGAAAACAAAAACCAAACAATAAATGCTTTTTTCATGACACTTAGAATATGCAGAAGTATATGAAGACAACCTTTACCCAGGATCCGCTGTTGAGGAACACTCCGGTTGTTCACTGTGCAGTCTTCCAGCCTGGTACAGACATGCTGGCACTGATGCATTTCTGCTTGCAGGTATGAGCGTCGTGTGGAATGGGCCACGGCGGTCATGCGGAGACAAGGCCAGGATGAGAGCACAGTGTGCGAGATCCTCAAGGAGTTCACAAAACCTCTTGGACATCCTTGCACAGGGAGGAGCGAAAAGTGTGAACAGTGCGATGCCCGCGGCTCCCAGGTTGCCTCCACCCTGTGCCACACAGCAGAGACCCAGGGCCCCTCTGTGATGAATGGAGACTCTGGACAGCGGGGTGGGCACCCTGATGGCCTGCAGGAGAGCTCTGGCCACGACCTGCTTCCTGCACACCACCTCGAGGGACCCATGGTAGAGGACACGGCAGCTCTGCCCCGAGAGCCCCTCAGCGCCCAGAGCGGACACCAGTCAGCAGGACAGAGGGGGTCCGAGCCTGAATACGTGCTCGTGGAAGAAGGCGTGTGTGATGAGCAGCAGGAGGCAGGCACCCCAGCAGAGGAAGTAAGTAAAAGAAAGCACCCCAATTCTCCTTAGGTGTGGGCAGCCCCCATTATCCACAGACCGAAAATACCTGGATTTGTCTTGATCTGGGGAGAGAGAAACCACACTGACAACACTTACCATAGTACGTTGTTACAGTTATTCTGTTAGTGATTGTTGTTAACTCCTACTACACCCGATCCGTAAGTTAGTTAAACTGTCTTGAGCGTGTCTGGATGGGGAGAAGCGGGCTTTGTGTGGAGCCTCACTGGGACCCTTGGGCGCCCCCTGCAGATGCAATAGTACGTATTGAGGTAGGGAGCCTCCTGGAAGTCACTCCCTCCACAGCCATCTGTTCTGGTCACTGGAGCAGCTCTGTACGCAGGCCTGTCAGCCCCAAGCATGTGGGATGAAGTTGGAGGGAACCTTCGGGCTGTCAGGGCCATTTCTTGGGACAATAGTAACTTGTTTAACTAACATGCTAGTAATATAAAGCAAGACCAATAATTCCTCTCCTTTGATGGGGAGAAAAAGAAATGCAGTGATCCTTTAGATATGATCTGCAATACAGCTCGCATGAGAGAGAACGGGTTTATGAAGTCAAGAACATACGTTGATCGCAGAATCCAGCAAAATGCTTCAAGCTGCAACAAGACTCATAGACAAAGGGAGATCAAATAGGTTATTTTTATAAGCGAGGATTGTTTGTTCACAGTATTTCCGCAGCAGCTTTTTCGTTCGGGAGAGTTTATCATTTTAGAGCACAGTGTCTCTATTAGGGCTTGCACTCGTCCCTGCTCTGTGCTTGATTTCTTTCCTTCTCCTCAGTGGGTGCACAGGCGGAGATTAACATGCCGGAGGAATCCATATAGGATCTTTGAGTATTTGCAGCTCAGCCTGGAGGAGGTACGTGTCCACCAAGCCTGTCAGCTCCCAGCAGGCCCTGCGGGATGCTTCCCGTGAGCTGGCCTTCGCAGTGGCCTCACGGCACGGTTCTGAACAGAACACAGTCGTGGGTTTGGGGTCGCCATGAGCAGCCTTCTCAGAAACAGGCCTGCCTACATTTCCCATCTCAGCCTTTTTCATTTGCTCTAAGTTGTGTGTTGGGGCTGAGGAGATAATGTCTGTAGGCCAATGGTAGAGTGCTTACCTGTGGTGACAAGTACTACATTAAAACCTTGGCACTGGGAAGTGGGACTGTGGCTCCAGTGGTAGAGCAGTAGCCTTACACTGAAGAGCTGAGGGACAGTGCCCAGGCCCAGAGTTCAAGCCCCACAACCCATAAAAACAAAAACAAACCTTGGCACTGCTAAAGAAAGAAAATGTGGGGCTGAGAAGGTGGCTCAGTGGTTAAAGCGCTTGCCTTGCATGCCTGAGGCCCTGGGTTCGATTCCTCAGCACTACATAAGCAAAAAGAAAAAAGCCGGAAGTGGCACTGTGGCTCAAGTGGTAGAGCGCTAGCCTTGAGCTGAAGAGCTGAGGGACAGCGCCCAGGCCCAGAGTTCAGGCCCCACGACCGGACCCCAAAAAAAAAAAGAAAGAAAGAAAGAAAATGTGTATTTGAGGACAATTCTCCTATTGTTTCATGAAGGATTAAAGAGGGCTCCTCTGGCATTTGTCTTGTGGTGGTGGGGAGTGGGGAGGTTGAGATAGTTTCTCACTACGTTTAGAACTAGGAACCAATCCTTAGGACTACGGGCGTACACTGCCACTCCCAGCTGAGTACTTGTTTTCTGTTTAGGACTTCAGATTGAATGTTTCAGCACTAATTTTCACCAGCTTTTTTTTTAATATGGCTTTGTTGAAATATAATTAACATACCACATAATTCACCATCTAAAGTATACAACCTTGGGGCTAGGGATGTTACTGAAAAGAAAAAAAGAGATCATATTGTTGGTGGTGGTAGTAAAAGATACTATAAAATCATTAAAACAATGTAGTACTGGTGTAGGAGTGGAAAGATCAACCAGAAGAGTCTACAACCATACCCACAGATAGATGAGAATTCCGAGTATGGTAAAAATAGTGTTTCTTATCCGTAAGGAAAAGACAGTGGATCTGAGGTATTGGGCTGATTGGCCATGTGGGAAATAAGTCATAATCCTCCCTCCTATCCTATGTCAGAACAGGTGAAGTATCCCCGTGGTCCTGTGTGCTAGGCCCGCTTGCCAGCTGGTGGATGGATTTGGGGGAAGTGACTGGATCCCAGAGGGCTCCGCCCACTCAGTGGACTCACCCCTCAAGGCTTCATAATAGGAGCGGAGGCAGGACCCGGTGGAGGAAGGGAGTTTCTGGCTTCGTCCTTTGGGGACTGCATCTGCCCCACCCCTTCCTGTATTCTTCTCTGTTCCTGTCCTCATGCAGTGGGCTGTTGCTGTGAGCCCAGCCACTGATTGAAACCCGAGATCCTCTGAACCAAAGTAAATCTTCCCTCCGTTCATGCTACGTCAGGCCTGCTGTCACATTAGTGCAAAGTCTGACTGGCACAGAGACATAAAGGAAGAATTTTTAAGGAAAAAAGCAACAATGGTAAACAGATACTGGTAGCTCATGCCTTATAATCCTAGCTACTCAGGAGGCTGAGATCTGAGGAATGAGGTTCGAAGCCAACGCAGGCAGACAAACCTCTCATCCAGCAAAAAGCTCAAAGTGGAGGTATGGCTCAAGTGGTAGAGCACCAGCCTTGAGTGAAAAAACTAAGCAAGAGTTCAAGCCCTAGCATTGGCACAAAAGAAAAAAAGTTAAGAGGTATGAGCTGTCTTCTAAGAAACATAGCATATAGATTCCACTATTTAAAACTCCGTGATGGGTGTATAGGTAAGTTGTAAAGCTTGTATAGCATTCCTGTGACATGGATTTGGTCCCCAGACCATCCATCACTGCAGAAAAAAGGGTTCAAGCCTAACCAGGGCACTGCCCATCCTGAACTCATCTTCCCAATTAGATTGGTTTCCAACTTCAGCTCCTGCGCTGCCTCACTGAAATCCTCATCCTATCTAGAGCACCCTTGCTCTCCTTGGCCTCTTTCCATCCTTGGGATGAGAACCTCAGGAAGCCCCTTTGTGGGGATGACAAAGCAGGGGTGTGCCCTGCTCACGGAGGACGCTGTCTGCCCCGTTTCCTGGTGCCACCCACGTGTTAGGTTAGGTGCTGGAGATGAGAATAGGAAATGGGCAGTCCCTGTAGCTGAGGGAGAGGTCGGGTGGGACAGGAAGGGGCGTGAGCAGTTGTGCACCTCTGATAAGACCTGCTGTGGATGTGGTCGGCAGCCGAGCCGGCTCCACCGAGCTTCGGCTCACAGGGTCCGGGTTCTGTACCTGTTTCCATCTTGTGGGTTGGGGCAGTCCATGGGGAAGTAGCTTTCACCTCAGGCCCCACTCCAGGGTGGAGAGGAGCTGACGGGGAGTGGGAACAATGGAAGAGCTGTGCGCATGGCCCTGTGCTGGTGGCAGATAGACGCCTTACCTTACTGAGTCCTCACCCCAGCCCATGAGGAACCCCAGGTCCTGTTACCTGGCTTTGATGGGGGAGAAGCTGACCCTGTACTGGAAGGCGGGGCGCCCCTCCTCTGCTGTCCGAGTATTTATAATGTCACTCTCCAACTGTACGGAAGCATCAGCGCTTTCTTGGGCCTCTGTATGGCCTGTGGGCCAGATGCCCCCCGTCCCCCTCACGGTAAAGGATGAGCTGTGGTTTGTAATGATAGATGAGGATGAGCAGCAAGCTTGCCCAGCATGCACAGGGTCTTGAGTTCCATTCCCTGTATGGCCCAGAAACCAAGAACAGTTTAGTTTGCTTTGGTTGGTTTGCTGTGGACTTCTAATTAGGACTCAAACTCACAATCCGCCTACAGATGGGCATGTTATGCCCAGCCCAGAACATCAGTTTACTTTTGAGGTGGCAACAATTCAATCTATGTATGACTCTTCCAGGAACATAAACTAATTTTTAAGGCAGTGCTGGGGGTGGAGCCCAAGGCCTTGAGCATGCTAGGCAAGGGCGGTGCTCCACCCCTGAGCCACAGCAGCCCTAGCCCCGCCACATGGCAGCGGTCCATTTTGGCTTTGTTTTTTGTTTTTTTTTAGTCAGTGGAGGGGTTGATCTCTGGGCCTGGGCACTGTCCCTCAGCTCTTCAGCCCAAGGCAACTGTTCTACCACTTGAGCCACAGCACCACTTCTGGTTTTCTGATGGTTCATTGGAGATAAGAGACTTACAGATTTTCCTGCCCCGGCTGGCTTTGAACTGTGACCCTCAGATCTCAGCCTCCTGAGTAGCTAGGATTCCAGGCGTGAGCCACCAGTGGCCACCTTCATTGTTCATATTCTTGTTGCTGGCCAGTTCTATTGGGATGAGATTGAATTTCGTAGTTGCTTTGATCTGCATGTGCTTTGCAGCCAGGGATGCCGAGCACTTCTTCATGCATTTAGCGACACGGCAGCGTTTCTAACGCGCTTTCCCCTTGCTGTCTGCAGGCCTTCTTCCTTGCGTATGCCCTGGGATGCCTGAGTGTTCACTATGAGGAGGTAAGGTGTTTGTTAGACAGTCCTCCACCCACAGCAGGCCATACTAATTCTCTTATTTCAAGCCAAATGCTGTCCCTGCTGCCATACCCCAACCCCTACTGATTAAAGTAGGAATTGAGGTGTCTTTTCCTGAGTTTTGGCTTTGGGTTCTGAATGAAGACTGTTCAAGTAAAAGCCAGCTTTGATTTGACCCTTTTAAATTGAATTTTACTCTCAGGAGGAGGGTTTTTTGTATATACTGTTCAGGAACTCAGCATCAAAGTAGTACTAAAAATATGCAACAGTAGAATCTAAGGGCTGGCATGCGTGATTCAGTCATTGTAATGCAGCTATACAGAAACAGGACCAAGAGTAAGAAAGCACATGATCATCTCAGTTGACACAGAAAAAAACCTTGGACAGAATTCACCCTTTTACAATAAAAGCTCGGAAGAAGCTAGGAGTGGCAGGCACGTCACTGAGCTTAATGAAGGCTGCAGATGACACACCTACACCCAGTATCATATAACATGGAGAACGGCAAACTCCTGAAGTCGGGAACTCAGCAAGGGTGTCCACCCTCCTCACTCTTCCCCGAATCCCTAGCAAGAAGGTAGGAGAAAGAAAGAAAAAGGGATTCAAGCAGGGAAAGAGGAAGACTGCTTATCCCCATATGCAGATTATGTGATCCTCCAAAAGCCTCACCGGTCTCCCTCCCCTGCCCCCTCCTCCACGCTGGTCCCTCTCCCCTGCCCCCTCCTCCACGCCGGTCCCCTCCCCTGCCCCCTCCTCCACGCCGGTCCCCCTCCCCTGCCCCCTCCTCCACGCCGGTCCCCCTCCCCTGCCCCCTCCTCCACACCAGTCCCCTCCCCTGCCCCCTCCTCCACGCCGGTCCCCTCCCCTGCCCCCTCCTCCACGCCAGTCCCCTCCCCTGCCCCCCCTCCACGCGGAGATGGGCTCTGCGGCTGCACTGTACCTCTGGCCTCAGTTGCCACTTTCCTGCTTCTGCCGGCCAGCCGGTGGGAATCACGGGGAGCCCAAGCAGGAGCTGCAGGGGGTGGGGGGGGGGGCGGAAGCCTTGGGAGCCGTGCAGATTTCTTCTAGTAGCCACATTAAATTAAAAACAGGTGATGTTAATTTGAATCACATCACATCGTTCATAGATCAAAAAACGATGCGTTCTTGTCTTCTTTCTCGTAGTGAGTTGGATCTCGGTGTGTTTCACACTTCCAGCACCTCTGTGGGGCTGAGCTGGCTGAGCCGGTGGATGGCGCTGCTCAGTCTTCCAGCTGGGCCCCCGGGCAGGGGCAGCCCCAGGGCTCCGCCGGCCCTGGCCCAGGGCAGGGACACACGCTTCATTGTGCCTTCCCCTCTTCCTTTTTTTCTTACCTTCCTCCCTCGCAGGAACCTTTAACACTTGTGAAGCTCTGGCGCGCGTTCACCGCCGTGCAGCCCACCTTCAGGACCACGTACATGGCTTACCACCACTTCCGAAGCAAGGGCTGGGTGCCCAAGGTGGGGCTCAAGTACGGGACGGACCTGCGTGAGTAGCTTCCGGGGAGGGGTGGCGCGGGTGTGTGCGGCCTCTGGCTCACGGGAGGCCGCGGAGCGCACGCGCAACCCACCTGGCGCCCGCCCTCAGTTGTCTTCCACGACCCCCGCTTGCCTCACGCCATCCTTGCCCTTCAGGACTCCCCGCGGTGGATTGCTGGAGACTTCCTTTAGGTCAGGCATGGCATGGTTTGCCTGGGCCCCAGGGGCCGGGGTTTCCAGCCCAGGCACCGGGGTTTCCAGCCCAGGCACCGGTGCTTAGAGACAGAGAACACAGTTGTGAGCACCACAGACACAAAAAGCAGAGGCAGAGTCATCTTGAGGGCGGCCGGCGCCCCGTGGAGGAATGTCATGAGCAGAGGCCGGAGCAAAGGCTGCTACTTAGGTCAGGAAACAGCTCTGGAAGCTGCGAGCACAGGTGGGGAGCAGTTGGCAGGTGAAAATGGAAAGAACATACTAGGCAAATGGCAAGTGCAAAGGCCCTGAGGCAGGAACATGCTCAGCAGGTCGCAGCAGCAAATGTGCTGCTCTGAATTTCCAGAAGTAGGCATAGGCTGTTTGTTCAGATGGGCTTGAGTCTCACTCATCTCCAGCCCCAGAGCTGAACCAGCCAGAGTGGCTGCTCAGCACATTTGGAGTAATACAGGATTGCTCCGCATCATTTGAACTTCCTGCTTTTTTTTTGGTGGGCGGGGGGGGGGGGGTTGCGTGGAGTGGTGGTATTGGAGTTTGAACTCAGGGCTGTGCGCTTGCCAGGCAACGCTCTACTGCTGCTCCTGCCCTTTTTACTTTATTTTGAGGTAGAGTATCGGAGGGTTTCCCTTTTCGCTTGCTGTGTCTGGGGTGACAGGCACATTCCGCCATGCCCGGCTCTCTCTGTTGAGATGGGGTCTTGGAAGTGTTTTTGCCCTTGCTGTCTGGGAACTGGACTTCTGATGTGTCTCTGAATTGCTAGCATTGCAGGCCAGGTGCCTGGCAGAACTTCACAGCCATGGTAGTTTCACACTCTACCGTGGAGAGTGTAAGGGAAGAGGCAAGATAAGGATCACAGGTAGGCCTTGTGTTTAGTCCCCAGTGTCAGGGAGAAAAGAGAGAGCAAGAAAGAGCCACATGTGCTCAACTGGTCGGAAGTGCGTGGCGAGGAGGGAAACCTGGGGGGCCAGGGCCTCAGGAACTCCCTTGCGTCAGCAAAGGCACTCGGTTTCTGGGAGGAAGGCGTGCCGGCGGGGCGCAGGGCAGAGCGCACATGCAGAGAAAAACAACTTAGCAGTAGAGGATGCTGTCGATGGCGCAGTGATAGGCTGTCTTTTTCTTCTTTGCAGTGCTGTACCGGAAAGGCCCTCCGTTTTACCATGCAAGGTTTGGAGCACTCTTTAATTGATTGAAGGCAACACAGGGCTTCCAATATTGTCGCCATAGTGATGATTAAAAACCAGGTCCCTCCTGGCCTGACCAGGACCCCTGCAAATGTCCACGTGGGACTGGGGGTGTAGCTTGGTGGCGAGAGGCTGTGCAGCATGTGGGAGGCCCCCCTTCCATCCCCAGCGCCTCAGAAACAGGCCCCGGCTTCTGCCCTCACCCCCAGCGTTCCCCTGTTGGGTGGAAGACTGTGTTGGGTCTGTGTTGAAGTCGGTGTAGGTACATAATGGTCGCCCCAGGCACCCCGGGTACCTGTCTGCAATTGTGCTGGGAAATTCTGTTCCTTGTCTACAGTTCTGTGTTGGAGCCAGCTGCAAGTTTGAGGTTACAGGAGAGAGAGGGCTCTGGTAGCCGTCAGGGTGTCTAGGGTCAGGACACGTGTGCTTTTCCTGTAGCTTCATTCTTGGGAAGACAGGCAGTGTTGTTTGTGAGCAGGTTGTTTGCATGGTTTTGATCTCCTAACCCACCCGTGTTTTGCAGCTACTCGGTGATCGTGGAGCTGGTTGATGACTGCTTTGAGGGCGCCCCCCGCAGGCCATTCAGCTGGAAGTCCTTGGCTGCGCTGAGCAGAGTGTCAGCCAGTGTCTCCAAGGTAACTGCAAAAAAGTCATTACAGGCTCACGCCTGTAATCCTAGCCACTCAGGAGGCTGAGATCTGAGAATCATGGTTCAAAGCCAGCCCAGGCAGGAAAGTCCGAGAGACTCTTATCTCCAATGAACCACCAGAAAACCAGAAGCAGCACTGTAGCTTAAGTGGTAGAGTGCTACCCTTGAGCTAAAGAGCTGAGGGACAGCGCCCAGGCCCAGAGTTCAAGCCCCACAACTGACTAAAAAAAGTCATTTGTAGAACTTCCTGACATCCCTTATTTTTGCTCTAAGCTGATGCTCTACCACTTGAGCCACAGCTCTACTTCTAGCTTTTTGTTGGCTAATTGGAGATGAGTCCTACAGATTTTTCTGCCCAAGCTGCCTTCAAACTATAATCCTTGGATCTCAGCCTACTGAGTTGCTAAGATTACAGGCGTGAGCCCCTGGCGCCCAGCCTGAGTTTAGTCTTCTACCTCCATGTTCACAAGCGCAGTGTGCTGCACCTGCGTTCTCTTGCTCCTCGGCGGGTGCCGGGGGAATGCTTTGTGTCCGTGTGCCATGCACGCATGCCTGCCCACTCTCTCTCGCCGCTGTTTCTCACAGGAGCTTCTGCTGTGTTATTTGGTGAAGCCCTCCACCATGACTGAGGAGGAAATGGGGTCCCCGGAGTGCATGAAGAGAATTAAAGTTCAGGTGGGTCCACAGATAGACATGCACTATCCCTGAGTCCTGGGCACTATTGTGTGACCTTCCAGGCCCCGGAACCTCTCCCTCTGCCCTCCCCTCCCTCCCCCACAGTGGCCTCTCACACATCTCACCTCCTGAATGTCTCAAATGATGGCTGAGCTGCTTCCTGTCCTCCTGGCCGACTCCCCGCCAGGGCTGCCCGGTCCATTGTGGAATCATCCATGTTTGTGTTGGCCCTGGGTAGCCCTGCATGCACACTTACACACACGCACATACCCAGCCTGCCCCTGCCTTCTCTCACGCGTAGCCCCCACCTCTCACGCTGCCCTGCCTCCCACCCTGCTGTCATCCCCAGGGCATCGGGGCCCTCCTCCCCGAGGCTGTCATGGCGCTGGCGGCTGGGGCTGTGGCGTCCGGCCACGTGTTTTCACATCTTCTGCCAGCCGGAGCAGGGGCGGCTCACTCTCCACCGCTGCCTGGAGCCTGGCCTGATGGCATGTGCTTGGAACCTTAGAGACTCAGCGCTTCTCATTTTTCCTGCCTGCAGGAGGTGATCCTCAGTCGCTGGGTTTCTTCACGAGAGAGAAGTGACCCGGATGAACTTTAGTGACCCAGTGCAGCCTCCCCGTCTCCTGCCAGGGCCCGGGCGGGTGGGTAGAATGTCCTGTCCTGGAGCTGAAGCTTTAAAGGGCGGCATGCACACCACAGAAGCCTTGGTTTTGGAAAGGACTGCAGACTCCACCCGAGCGCCCGCCGTCCCTCCTCCTGCGCTGTGGAAGTCGGAGTTGGCGAGTCCAGCCCCACCCAGCTCCGTGATCTGGGCACAAGCGGAGTTCCTGTCACCCTGTCCTGGGAGGTGGCACCGGCAGTCCCCTGGGAAAGCTCTTCTCTGGGGACCTGAGCGCGGTCACACACGGAGCACGGGAGCAGATGCGGACTCAGGGCCCCACGTCCCACCGCTGTAAATGGAAAGGCAGGATGTGTGTCTCCTGTACCTGTGGGCTTGGCGCTAACCCGAGCACTGGAGAGCCGCTTTCCGAGTCCGCCTGCCGTCTGTCAGCTACTGCAGCGCTGGCTCTCCACGGTGCCCCGTCGTCTGCCCAGCGCAGCCAGGCCTGCGTGTTCAGAGACCCGGACCAAGCCAGCGCGCGGGGAACGTTCCGGGAGGAGGGTGAGCGGGCGTCCCCTTTAGTGAAAGAGTCAAAGACGGGGTGTCCGCGTGAGGAGCAGGGCTCGCCGGGCTCGGCTTCTGCTGGCTGCGAGCCGGAGCTGTCACAGCCCCGCGGGGCGGGGCCGCGGCTGGGCGGGGCGCTGGGGGCGGGGCCTGGCGGGGGGCGGGGCCGCGGCTGGGCGGGGGGCGGGGCCGCGGCTGGGCGGGGGCGGGGGGCGGGGCCGCGGCTGGGCGGGGCGCGGGGGGCGGGGCTGCGCTGGACTGGGTGGGGCCTGCCTCCAGCCTCCGCTCCGCTGGACCCCGTCAGTCCTTCCAAGGGACCTGACTCCCTTAAAGAGCCCACCCGGCACCCCCCACTGCACCGACAGTGAGGCGTCTGCGTGAGTTTGGGCGAGGACCCCACATCCACGCGCTAACAAGGAAGGGCTTGGATGGAGGAAGCCTGGGGCTCCTCGAGGCCCACAACCCTGGGCCTCTTGGCAAGCAGAAAGCAAAGCGGGCACGGCGGCCGCCCGCCCCGCCCGGGCCGCAGAGGCCTGCGCCCGCCCGCCCGCGCGGGGCTTTCCCTTAGCAGCCCCGGCCCCTCCGCGCTGCCACTGCCACTGCCCGCTGCCGTGCCGCGGCAGAAGGCAGCCGGAGCAAAGCCCACGGAAGCGTGGCCCAGGGTCCCGCACCCGCCCGGCCATCCGAGCCCTGGGTTCAAACCCCAGTGCGGCAACACGCCAACCCCCAGAGAGCGGACCAGGGGGCGGCACCCGCCCTCATGGAGGGCCGCGGCCCCAGGCGGAGCCGGGGGGCGGCAGCTGGGTGCCAGGGGTCCCCCCAAGGGGCGTCGAGGCGCAGGGTGTGTTGAGCATCACCCCCAGTCTTCAAGCTGAGCACAGGAAGCATTCACAGCGTGTGGCTGAGCCCCCGCTCCGAAGGCCGCCATCCGCACCGCACGCTTCCCGGGAGGCTGCGCCTGGGCCCCGGGCGGTGTGGACGAGGAGGGCTGGGGCGCTGGCCCCGTGGAGGTGGAGGCTCTTTCTGGGGTGATGAGAGTAACCAGCGTGAGGGTCACCCGACACCGAATGCGCAAGCTGACACCGCTGTTTGCTTTACAATGGTTGGTTTTATGCGCCGTGCGTCCCCGCGGGAGGCCGCGGTGTGGCCGGGCCCGCGCGGCCCCGCGGCCCTGGTCTGCAGGCGCACTGTCCAGTGTCGCCTCCTGGAGTGTAGCGGGCACTGGGCAGTGGTTAAAGCTGTGTGGTTGGGACTCAGTGCTGAGCCGGCCAACAAGACGGGCTTTTCCTTCTTGTTTTTCCTTAACATTTCTTAACGTTTCTTAGATTAAGGGGGGTGGTCCGTGCCACGCATGGTGTAGGAGTTTGGGAAGAACACCCCTGTGTGGGTTGTTGTGTCTTTCAGTTCAGTGACCCCCGAGGCTGGGTTGTGAGGGCCCGCTGGTCACTCCATGAGCACAGACCCGCTCCTAACGGCGTGAAGGGCACCGTGGCTCACGCCTACAACCCCAGCTACTCAGGAGGCTGAGATCTGAAGATTGCAGTTCAAAGCCAGCCCAGGCAAAGAAGTTGGAGAGACTTATCTCCAATTAACCAGCAAAAAGCTGGTTTCTTGGGCTGGGAAGGTGGCTCAGTGGTAGAGCGCTTGCCTTGCATGCCTGAGGCCCTGGGTTCGATTCCTCAGCACCACATAAGCAAAAAGAAAAAAGCTGGAAGTGGTGCTGTGGCTCAAGTGGTACAGCACTAGCCTTGAGCTGAAGAGCTGAGGGACAGCACCCAGGCCAAGTTCAGGCCCCAATGACTGACAAAAAAAAAAAGTAAGTGGCACTGTGGCTCAAGCAGTAGAGCATGCACCTTGAGCTGAAAAGTGCAGGGACAGCACCCAAGCCCAGAGTTCAAGCCCCACGACCAACAAAAATAAATGAAAAGGTTGTCCTTCAGCTGGGTATAGTGGCTCAGGCCTGTAATCCAAGCTACTTGGGAAGTAGAGATCAGGAAGATCATGGCTTCAGGCCAGCCTGGGCAAAAAGTTCACAAGACCCCATCTCTACAAAAAAAAGGCAGGGCGGAGGGCCTGTTGTCCCAGCTATAGCAGGAAATGTAAACGGGGATGGAAATCCAGCCAGCCTAGGTATACATGAATCCTATCTCAAAAATAATCCGAGCAGAACGGACTGGAGAGGTGCCTCAAGCGGCAGTGCATCTGCCTGGCACAGGAAAGCCATGAGTTCAAAATCAGCACCACCACCAAAAAGAAGTTGGCAATGAGAACCGTGAAGTATTCTGCATTCCCAGCCTGCATCTCTCCCCACCCCCACCTCAGACTCCACCAGCTGTGATCTGCTGAGCTCCGGCAAGTGATAGGGCTCGACTAAACAGCACTGCCACTTCATACCCTAACAGACCTCCATCGCAAGAGCCCCAGTGGCTCTACAGCAGTTGTAATGCGTGTCATTTTTTACAGTTTTATTCGTTAGTGTTTTTTCATTGCAGTGCTGGGGGTAAGATGCAGGACCTGGCACACACCAGGCCACAACCCCGGCCTGAAATGTCTACTAGCTCGGTGACTCCTCACCTTGAAAAGCCATACGTGTGCTCAGCCATGGTGAAATGCCCTTAGGTGACCCACAGCAGCCATCCCCTCGCCCGCGCGTGTGCGCGCACACACACACACACACGGGCTTCCTCAGGGACGGCTTGTCTCAGGGTGGGGCCAGTCGATGGCGTAGAAGCCATGCTCCTCCACGGCCCGGTAGAGTGTGATGTACTTGGAGGCCAGCCTCGTCCTAGGGACCACATACTTCTCCGTGAACTCGCTCTTGTCCAGCTGTGCTTTGCCTTCGATGCTCAGAACGCAGTTGACAAAGGTGAGGGCATAGCTGTAGCAGTTGTGGTGATCTTCTTCGTACCTTCGGGAGAGGCCACAGGCAAGAGAGAACCCAGCTCTTTCTTGTTTTTGGAAGAGACAGGGTCTTGCCGTGTTGCCCAGGCTGAGTGATCCTCCTGCCTCGGCCTCCTGAGTGCCCGGATGAGCGGGTTCACCGCCGAGCCTGGACCCTCAGAAGGCTGAGCTTTATGGTTTGCTTTGGTTTCCCTAATGGAGCTTGAACTTGGGGCCCAGGTGCTGTCCCTACGCTTTTTTGCTCCAGGTTAGTATTCTAAAACTTGGAGCCACAGCGCCACTTTTGGCTGTCTGGTGGTTAGTTGGAGATGAGAGTCTTGCCGATTAGTTCCTGCCCAGCTTGACTTCAAATTGTAATCCTCAGATCTCAGCCTCCTGAGTAGCTAGGATTACAGGCATGAGCCACGGGTACCTGGCTGTCTGAGCTTTAAAGACGCTTGGATTCGCCAGGCCAGGTCAGGAGGAGTTTAACTGAGGCTAGGTGGGCCTCATAGGGAGACTGTATTTCAATTAAATCAGGATGGAGGGAGAAAGGAAAGGAGAGAAGAAAAAAGGGACGGGAGAGAAGTCTCAGGAGCAGCTGGGAAGCACTTCCAGAGCATCCCGGGGCCCTGAGGGCCGAAGCCACCCAGAGACCCACCGGCCATGGCTGCATCAGTGCAGCGCCCTCTGGGGCAGGCGCCCCCGGACCACACAGGGGCCTACTCGTGACAGGTGAGAGCCCGGAAGGGGTGGCCTGCGGCCGCCTACCTGTGGGGCAGCCAGGCCCCTGCGGCAGAGAAGTCCTCCAGGTACTTGTCCCACTGGTCCATCAGTGCGAACAGGCCGGGCTGCACCAGGGGGACGCTCAGGCTCTGCTCCCACCCCGCCCGGTCCCGCTGGACGCCCAGCGCCGTATAATGGTACACGACCCCTGCAAACGCAAAGGGCCGTTCAGAGGCCGACTCCGGAGAGAATCACTTGAGCCCAGGCGTTCAGGACGAGCCTGGGCACATCCAGCTCATCTCAGAAAAGGTCGTGTGCATCTGACAGTTTAAAAAGCCCCGCTGAAGTTTCTGGTCGCTTACAGCTGATGAACTGAGCCAGGAATGAGGCTGCTGGCAGCGCTGGCTACGGCGGCCTGCAGGGGGCGCCCTCTGGGCCTTCCACAGGGAAGAAAAAACTCAGGGCGAAATCTGCTGCCAAAGAAACATTTTGTGTCATCTTCCTATGCGGTGTGTGTGTGCGTGCACACCCATGGGCGTGCTGCAAAAGCACTCTACCACAAAGCCACACTCCAGCCTGTGCTGGTGGGGTTTCTGTTTAACTTCTGTGGGATTTTTTTTTTTTTTGGGGGGGGGGAGGTGCACCAGTACTGGGGCTTGAACTCAGGGCCTGAGAACTCTCCCTTCACCTTTCCAGGCAAAACTGGTGCTGTATCCTTTTTTTTTTTGGTCGGTCGTGGGGCTTGAACTCGGCCTGGGCGCTGTCCCTCAGCTCTTCAGCTCAAGGCGAGCGCTCTACCACTTGAGCTACAGCGCCACTTCCGGTTTTGTGGTGGTTTATTGGAGATAGGAGTCTCACAGTCTCTCCTGCCCGGGCTGGCTTTGAACCGTGATCCTCAGATCTCAGCCTCCTGAGTAGCTAGGATTACAAGCGTGAGCCACCAGCGTCCGGCTGGTGCTGTATCCTTTAAGCCCCAGCTTAAAAGCTTAATAAAAGCTTCCAGCTTTTTGGTAGTGAAGCAGATAAGAGTCACAGACTTCACTACCCAAGCTAACTTCAAACCATGATCCTTCGACCTCAGCCCCCTGAGTAGCTAGGGTTATAGTAGTAAGCCACCAGCACCCCGCTCCCCTGCCCCTATTTTATCCCTGCAGCTTCTCAAGCGCAGGACCCCATTGGCAGTAGGTGTGAGTTGGGCATTTGGGGACTCGAGATCAGATCCCAGTTCTGGATCCAACACAGAAGCTGACATCTTTGGGCAACTCAGCCTCTCTGGACACCTGTTTCTTCCTCTCTTTTACATCCAGTCGCACCAGATGCCGGTGGCTCACGCCTGTCATCCTAGCAACTCAAGAGGCTGAGATCTGAGGATCATAGCTCAAAACCAGCCCAGACAGAAAAGTCCCTGAGACTCTTAAGCTCCAATGAACCACCAGAAAACAGAAGTGGAGCTGTGGCTGAAAGTGATAGAGCTCTAGCCTTGAGCAGAACTCAGGGACAGCGCCCAGGCCTCAAGTTCAAAACCCAAGACCAGTAGAGCCAGGGTATGGCTCTTGCCTACGTAGGTAAGGCCCATCCTGACTGTGGGGCTGATGAGCTACAAGAGGTGTGAGAACGTACTCACCTGTGGTATTGGTTATTCCAACATGAAGATCAGACTGCCCATCGTACTCCCTGAAAGAAAGGGCATCGCGTCATCGTCTGTGTGCATTGACAGTCTGCCTGAGCTGGTCTTGAACTCCTGGGCTCACACACCCCTCCCACCTCACCCTCCGGAGCAGCTGGAACTGCAGGTGTGTACCACTGCACCAGCGATCGAGGGTTATTTTTCTTGTTTCTGTGTGTTTGGCCTACTGCATCCTCCCAAAAAAAGAAGGAAGAAATGTTGGTATTGTGGATATCAGAACTGGGATTCTGAGAGGTGGTTGGCCAGAGTTCTGGGGTGTCCAGTGACACATGACAGACAGTTCCCTGGTCCATCAGGACCAAAAGGCATGCAGAACTGCCTTCCTGGAGCTAGGAAGGCAGCTCAGTGGTAGCGTGCTTGCCTTGTATACATAAGGCCCTGGGTTCGATTCCTCAGCACCATATAAGCAGAAAAAGCCAGAAGTGGCACTGTGGCTCAAGTGGTGAGCACTAGCCTTGAGCTGAAGAGCTGAGGAATAGTGCCCAGGCCTAGAGTTCAAGCCCCACAATCAACCAAAAAAAAAAAAAAAAAAACCTGCCTTCCTTCCTTGAGGATGGGGGAAGGGAGCAAGAAGATCATTTAGGATAATAGTCTTCTCATTCATTTGTTGTTTTGTTTTTGTTTTTATCAGTCGTAGGGCTTAAACTTAGGGCCTGGGCCTGTCCCTGAGCTTTTCCACTCAAGGTTAGCGCTCTACCACTTTGAGCCACAGCTCCACTTCTGGTTTCCTGGTGGTTAATTGGAGATAAGAGTCTCACAGACTTTCCTGCCCAGGCTGGCTTTGAACCTCCATCCTCAGATCTCAGCCTCCTGAGTGGCTAGGATGACAGGCGTGAGCCGCCAGCGCCCGGCTTTCTCATTTGTCTTGAAAATAACAAAGCTAGAGTCAGCTATCGGAGTGCTGTGGCGCCCCCGGTGGTGGCAGCTTTGGGTCACTGGTTGAGGGTGCACTTGAGGTCAGAAATACTCCCTGCTGCTGTGTTTGCTTGGAACGCAGAGGCCATTCCTTCCGAAGTGGAACTTCGCATCCTCCTGGGGTTCCGCATGGAAGTCATTTGCTGGTGGGGCTCCTCACTCCCTTCTGTGGGAGGGCACCCACTTTCAGGCTACTACAGCTGAATCCAGAGGTATCAGAGGCCCTTCTCCTTCCAAGCCGCCCTGACCCAGACACCAAGCCCAGACCCCAGCTCAGTCCCAGCACCACAAAAACAGGCAAAGGGGAACCCCGCCTGGTGGAAACGTTAACCTGCACAAAGGAGGAAGGACCACCAGTCAGACCAGCAGGGCATTATAGGAAAGAAAACACATTCTTTTGCTTTTTGGTTCCTTTCAAAAACAGTGATATAAAGCTGAAATAATAATTTGCTGTTTCTGTGTGGGTTCTCCTGATTATCCTCGGCTTTTCCATTTGAAGTTTTACTTTTGCAAGTCCAGAAGAGAATGTGTTGAGATTTTGATTGGAATTGTATTATATCTGTACATTAAGGGGGGGAGGGGCAAAGGTGGAACTTACAGGCAGTGCTCCTCTGAGCATGTGCAGAGCCCAACTTCCATCCCTAGCCCCAGGGGGAAAAAAACTAATTTTTTTCCTTTTGTCGGTCATGGGGCTTGAACTCTGGGCCTGGACGCTGCCCCTGAACTCAAGGTTAGCACTCTACCACTGAACCACAGCGCCACTTCTAGTTTTCTGGTGGCTCATTGGAGATAAGAGTCTCAAGGACTTTCCTGTCCCGGCTGGCTATGAACCGTGACCTCAGAGCTCAGCCTCCTGAGTAGCTAGGTTGACAGGAGTGAGCCACCGGCACTTTTTTTAAGGACCAATCCAAAAGCCTATCGTGAACAATGTCACGTTGTCCCGAGGCTTGTTCAGTGTGACAGCACACAGCTGCTCAGTAAGGGTTTATCAAATGAACCAAAGTTAGGGGAAATCAGCTCTGAATCTTGTCTGTTCAGAAGCTTTTGGAATCCAACCAGTTAATGACTCAGTTAGCACGAGCCTCTTAACCAACAGTGGGAGTCCCAGGGTCCTGGACTGTTATGAGTGGAGGCCAGGCAGGCCTGTTCTAGGCTGGGGGGGGGGGGGGGGGTGCGGCTGGTGGGTGGAAGCACAGGGGAGAGGCTGGGGCTGCTTGTGCCTCCGCCGCTGGCCAGCTTGGAGCCAGCCAGTCGGGGAGGAGCCTGGCTTCTTCGTGGAAGAATCAAGATGGGAACCTGCAGGCTGACCAGTGCCTGCTGCGTACAGCAGCTGGGGGCGGGGGGAGGCGACCAGGGCGGAGCCCCGAGCGGGGCTGGTAGCTCCAGGCAGGGCCATCGATTTAGTCACCACCAGCAGCTCCACAGACCATGGGGCACAGCCCCTTCCCCTGATTTCGGAATTCATCCTTTATTATAATAATAATAATTATTATTATTATTTTAGTGAGTGTCACTATACAGCCCTAGGTGGCCTCAAACTCCAGATCTTCTTGCCTGCACCTCCAGCTGGATGCAAAGCCAGATGACCTCTGCAGCAGGAAGAGACCAGCGCTAGCCCTGGACATAAGGTGGGGTGCGGCTCAGTGGAAGAGCTAGGTGCCATCCCTGGAGGATTACACACACACACACACACACACACACACACACACACACACACACACACACACGTCCTTCCTGTTGAGTGAGTTCCCTTCCATACAAAACAGTCTAAAAGCCGGGCGCCACTGGCTCATACCTGTCATCCTAGCTACTCAGGAGGCTGAGATCTGAGGATCACCAGTCAAAGCCAGCCCCGGAAGGAGTCAGTGAGACTCTTATCTCCAATTAACCATCAGAAAACCAAAAGTGGCACTGTGGCTGAAGTGGTAAAGCGCTCATCTTGAGCTGAAGCGCTGAGGGACAGGGCCCAGACCCAAAATTCAAGCCCCATGACTGAACAAGGGAAAACAAAAAACAGTCTAAGTACTAGCCCTTCACGCTCTGCACATAGTAGCTGCTTGCCACACAAGTGATGAACTATCCCAAATCATTTTTTGTTGTTGTTTCTGAATTACCTGCTGGCGCATTTACAAGTTAGACTTTTTTCTCTCTTTCTTTCTGTTACATCAACTCTATTCTCATTGCCAACTGCTGGAGGAATCATATTCCTTCTTAACCTACCAGAATCTCATATTCAGCAATGAAAGTTCTGAGTTGCAAAACAGCATTGGCTGTTTACACCTGTCTGTAAGGCTGTGTCACAAATTAAACAAGACACAAACAGGCAAGTGCTCCAAGTTGGGCTCTTCACACATATTTTCCCCTCCTGAAATCCCTTCGGCGGGGTTGGGGTTGTTCGTGGATTGTGGCGTATGACTGCCCGTGTCATTGCAGGGAGGTGTACACGCCCCTTCCCCCGCCTTCCCCCCTTCTCTCTCCTTTTGTCTGTTTCCTCTCGGACAAGCTGGGAATGAAACCTGAGGCTCGCTGCATGTGACACTAGTGCTCTGCCACTACGATGTGCCTCTGGCCACACACTGTTGCCTGCTTGGGCTTTTTGCTATTGTTTTGTTTTCCATTCCTGAGGTTTGAACTCAGGGCTTACACTAGCTAGACCAGTGCTCTACCACTTGAGCCACACTGTCAGCCCTTTTTGCTCTATTTTTTGAATTGGCTCTTTGGGCCCAAACCAGCCCAAACTGTGACCCTCCCATGTATGCGCCTTGCATAATGGGGATGATAAGTGAACACCACTGGGCTCAGCTTGTTGGTTGAGATGGAGTCTTGATAACTTTTGCCCAGACCTCTGCCCCCTGAATAGCTGAGATAGTAGGTATGAGTTCCCAGACCATTTTTTTGTTTTGTTTTGTTTTTGTCAGTCATGGGGCTTTGAACTCGGGGCCTGGGTGCTGTCACTGAGCTCTTTGGCTCAAGGTGAGCGCTCTACCACTTGAGCCACAGCGTCACTTCCGGTTTTCTGTGGTTTATTAGAGATAAGAGTCTCTCAGATTTTCCTGCCCGGGCTGGCTTTGAACCAGGATCCTCAGATCTCAGCCTCCTGAGTAGCTAGGATTACAGGCGTGAGCCACCAGCACCCAGCACACCATTCATGTTGATGAAACAGAAGCCCATAGGTATCAATCAGGACGTCAGGCCCCCACACCAGAAGGACTGCCCACCAACCCTCACACCGCACAGCACAGATTAGAAAGTGACTGTGTGCCATAAGGCCAAGCTTGCAAAGTCAGCACAACACAAGAGACTCGGTACCTAAGAAACGTGCCCTGGGTTGGTCTGAGGAGGAAGGAACATGTTTCCCGATGCCCGTTGGTAAGTGGGCTGGAGATGCTGATCGGGGCTTCCTCCAGCCTGGCCGAGCCCACGTCCTGCTGGCAGAGGGGGCAGCGCTGTGGCACCCTGAAGCTGTAGATGGACATCTTGCAGTGGTCGAATTTAATTAAAGGCCTCCCGGCCTCAGCACAGTGCATCTCCGGGGCTCTGGAGACTTCCCTTTCCTGCTCGCACAGCCAGCAAATGAGCCCGCAGAGAGTAACCTGAGGAAGGCAAACCCAAACCAGGTGTGGTTAACCAGTAACCAGCCAGCACACAGGCTGCGTTCTTAAAGAGCAAGTCTGATGTGTTGCTTTCATTTCGTAGTGGATAGTATCCAGCTCCTACTCATCCATTACAGCTCTACTTTCTATGCCTCCTGTCTTAGCTTCTGTGTGTGTGTGTGTGTGTGTGTGTGTGTGTGTGTGCTTCTAGCATTAAACTTACAGTTCTACCAGAACTATTGTTTAATTCATTTTGTTTCTCCCACAAGTCTGGGGGCTTCTTGGGTTGTGGGAATGATTTTTTTCTTTTCTTTTTTCTTTCTTTCTTTGTCCAAGAAAAATAAACTCAGGCATTCAGCCTTGGGCAGTTTTGTGGAAAAGTGTGCTTGCCTGTGTTCATAGACACTGGGCTCTGTACCTGGCTCCAAGGAGAATATATAGCATTACTGGCGTTCATTTTTGTTGTTTTTTTGCTGGTGCTGGGGCTTGAACTCAGGGCTTGGGCACTGTCCCTGAGCTTTTTGCTTAAGGCTAGCACTCTACCACTTGAGCTACAGTACCACTTCTGGCTTTTTCTGTGTATATGGTCCTGAGGAACGGAACCCAGGGCTTCATGCCTGCAAGGCAAGCACTCTACCACGGAGCCACCTTCCCAGCCTGGCATTCACTTTTGTGTTGCGTAAATACCTGTAATCTTTCTCGGCTGCTTAGCCATTGAGTCATTCTGTAAAGTGAGAAATCCAGAGTGTGATTGTTCCAGGTGGAGAGATTGCCAGGGAGGGGCAGAGGTAATTTCTGGGGTCTGGGGCTACACTGGGTCTTCAGGGTTACTGCACTATTTCCTGTGTGAAAATCCATCACCCATCATTATTTTCCAATTTAAAATAACTTTAAGCAACTGCATACAAATACAAGGGGAAAAAACGCAAGGCTTCTCATTTCTCCTCCATTTTCCCAAGAATAGTAACTAATAGTAGGTTACTGGGCATTTACTATTATTAAGTTAACCCCATTATGGTTTGAGGTCTGGGGTTTCTCTCATTCTGGAACCTTTCCCCAGCCTTGGTGATCCAGGCTTCGGATGACTGTGTCATAACCCTGCGCTCTGCACCCCGACTGTGTCCCTGCTCAGGCAGAAGCAGCCTTAAGGTGAGAGCTTCTGACGAGGGCTCCCCACCACAACAGAGGCCTGGGGTGTTTCCTCCCGTGCACTTCCTGAGTTAAACGTGCTCGGCCAGGAAATGCCCACCAGCCTCCGGCCACTCGCAGAGCTACACAGGTGCCCGTTTTCTCCCGACAGCCAGGCAGACAGGCTCTAGCTGCCACTCAAGGACCTGGCAATCACCGGCTTCCAGAAACACCGTCAGATCGTTAGTCCTGAGGCCGGGCGTCGCTGCGTGGCAGAGTGCCTGCCTAGCAAATGTGCAGACATCTATACAGGTGTGTGCACACATCATGGACAGAGAAGGAGGTGCATTATTTGACGCATCACAGCATCTTCAATCCTATTTATATTACGGATAAAACCAAAATGCACAATTCATAGAGGGTGTGTGTGTGTCCCGAGGCTGCTCCGCAGGGCCCCCGCGGGTCCGCAGTCTGCGCTTCCCCAGCTTCTCCGGTTCCTTCCTCCACCTCGGTTCGCTCGCTTTGGACGTGCTGTGGCTGGGCCGGAGCCGACCTCAAGCTGTCTGAGGCCCCGGGCCGGCGGCTCGGGCCGCGCGAGGCCCGAGTTCCACGAGAACAGCAGGAGAAGGAATGAGACGAGTTCGGAGCGGCCCGGCCGCGGGCGGCCGCGCGGCGAGCGAGGGGGGGGGCAGCGGAAGCCGGCGCGAGCCGGGCGGGGCGCCGCGGGGACCCGGCGGGCGGGCGCGGCGCCGCGGGGCGGGGGTGGTCCCGCGCAGGGGCGCGGCGCTGCGGGGCGCGGACGCCCAGGCGCTCGGCCGGGCCGGGCCGGGCCGGGGAAGGGAGGCCTGCGGCCCGCGGTCCCCGCAGCCAGGCTGGCTCCGCCCCGAGGCTCCCGGAAGGCCCGCCCCCGCCCGCGGGGCGGAACCAATTGTGACGAGGGCGCGGTTTCCGGCCGGCGCTACAAAGGTGCTGCACGTGGGGCGCCGTGACGCGGCTGCGCGGGTCGGGCGGCGGCGGCGAGGCGGCGGCGGAGGCGCGACGACGGCCCCGCAGCCGGCCGCCATGAGCACCAAGCAGGTTACGTGCAGGTCAGCGCGCGGCGCCGCGGGCCCAAGCTGAGGCTGCCGCGGGACTCGCAGAAAGCCGCCCCGCGGCTCGCGGTGGCGGGGTCGAGGCCCGGGGCGGCGGCGCGGGCCCTGGGGCGGGCGGGCGGGGGAGGCGAGGCCGCGGAGGGAGGGAGGGGCGCGGCCTCGCGCAGGCGCGCGCCCGGGCCCCGCGGCCTGCGGCTGCACCTGAGCCGGTGGCGAGTTAGCGAGAGTCGGCGGGCAGCGCCTCAGCGCGCGCGTCCTCTTCCTCCCCCCCAGCGCGCGCGCGTCCTCTTCCTCCCCCCTCAGCGCGCGCCCCCGCCCTCAGTGCCGCCCCCACCCTCAGCGGCGCCCCCTCCCCGTCCTCAGCGCGCGCGCCCCCGCCCTCAGCGGCGCCCCCTCCCCGCCCCCAGCGCGCGCGCCCCGCCCTCAGCGGCGCCCCCTCCCCGTCCTCAGCGCGCGCGCCCCCGCCCTCAGCGGCGCCCCCTCCCCGCCCCCAGCGCGCGCGCCCCGCCCTCAGCGGCGCCCCCTCCCCGTCCTCAGCGCGCGCGCCCCCGCCCTCAGCGGCGCCCCCTCCCCGTCCTCAGCGCGCGCGCTCCCGCCCTCAGTGCCGCCCCCACCCTCAGCGGCGCCCCCACCCGCCCCCTGCGCGCGCGCCCCCGCCCCCAGCGCGCGCCCCCTCCCCGTCCTCGGGCGCGCGCCGGCGGGCTCGGGGATCGCGTCTCGCGGAGCTGGGCGCCTGCGCATGGGCCGAGCACCCCTCACGCAGCTGCAGACCCCGCGCCCCGCCGCTCCACGGGCCGCAGCTTGGCCCCGGTAGAACCATCCGCGTGGGAAGTGGTGTTTTCATTTTGAACTCGGGGTGGGCGCTGCCCCGGAGCCTCTCTGTGCTCCAGGCCAGCGCCCTGCCTCTTGAGCACCACTTCCGGCCTTCTCTGTGTATGTGGTGCTGAGGAATCGAACCCAGGGCCTCAGGCATGCTAGACAAGCCAGGCCCTAAGTGGAAAGTTCAGACTGTGAAATGCTGTCTCCAGTGCAAGAAAGTATTAGAAAATATTGTATGAAGTTACTTTCAGGAGCTGGGCGAGGTGGCATGAGTCTGTTAGCATTAAAGAGACAGGCCCACAGGGTGCCCGTGACTCACGCCTGTCATCCTCTGGGGGCTGAGATCTGAGGATTATGGTTCAAAGACAGCCCAGGCAGGAAAGCCCATGAGACTCTTATCTCCAATTTATCACAGAAAAAGCTAGAAGAGGCACTGTGGCTCTAGTCGTAGAGCACTGGCCTTGAGCAAAAATGAGATCAGGAACCGCACCCAGGCCCAGAGTTCAAGCCCCAAGTCCGGCAAAGATAAATAAATAAAATGAATTCCTTGCTTTTTAAGTCCAGTGTTTTTACTTTCACTGTCTAGAAGTATTTTTTGGATCCTGTTTAGTGGGAGTTCTGTATGCCTCTGCCAAGTGTATGAGATTTTCTCTCAGTGTTGGGGAAGTTTTCTGTTACTTTATTGAATAAGTTTTAGTGCTTTTAGTTTTGAATTCCTCTGCTCATCAGTTCTGACTGCGTTCATTGGATCTTTTGGCTGCGTCTGTCAATTCTTGGATTTTCTTTTGGCATGTGCTGAGTATTTTTCCATGCCTTTGATTTGTTGTTGTTGTTCTAATTCTTCTATTTTATGCCCAGCTCCTGATTCTGTTTTCCATTTCACATGTTCTGTTGCTGTGCCATTCAACTGTGGTTTGCACTTGGGAAATCAAAACTTTTATACTTCCAAGTTCTTTGTTAAGGTCAGTTCTCATGGTGTTCATATCATCTCTTAATGAGTGTGTAGTGTTCCATTTTTCTCTGTCTTTTTGTGTGATTTGTATGTTCTTTGTCATTTTCTCCTTGCATTGTTCTATTTGCTTTTGTATATCCCTTTTATTTCTTCAACCAATTCTCTCCTTATTTCTTTGATGGTTCTTTTGTCCTCCATCTCTTCTTCACTCTCACCCCGTTTCTTCCTTGGATTGTTGGCTTTTGGATTTGGTTTGTTGTTGTCTTGGTTGTTGATGAGTTTTGTAATCTTCTCTTGTGATGTATGCATTTGGGTGCAGGGGCTGTGGAGGTGCGGATAGCGTAATGTGTCCTGCTCAGTGGTTGGGCTGTGTGGTGTGGGGTCAGTCTGGTGTTCAGGCCTAGGTTTGGGCCCAGTGACGTGTTCCTGGTATGTAGTGCACAGCAATCTGGTATCTTGATCTGGTTCTGTATCCGGGGTGGGTGGATCCCCACTAGCTCAGTGGGGACTGACCCCTGGCCAGCCCTGAACTGCCATCTATTTGCAGAGGGTCTGGGTGGAGGCGGACAGGACAGGACAGCGTTCAGTACCTGGACCCCCTCAGGGGTAGAGGGGGAGGGCGCAGGTTCCCACTGTCCCCCCCCCCCAGTCCTGGATTGGGACAGGAGTGGGCCCCTGGGTGGGCTCCCACTGGGCAGTGCGGGAGATCGTCTCCACTCGTGTTCTGGGTCGGTGGGTTCGTGGTCCTGGCCGCTTGCATGGCTGATGGCTGGCGTGCATTTGCCCCAGGGCTAACTTGCACTAGGTGGACTGGCTCTGCGTGGGTGCCCCGGGCTGGCCAGCTCTCCTTGGGCTGGTGTGCTCGGTCAGGCCTGGGATGGAGGCTGGGGGGGCCTAGATTCAGGCCTCTGGGGTGGGAGTGACCTTTAGAAGAGCTGGCTCTCCCTGTAGGTGGGGGAGATTATCTCCCCTTCTTTTGGCAGATCAGGTTTTTCTGCTTCAGCCAGGGTTGTGGAGGACACAAGGTCCTCGTGCCCACCCGGTATTGGCCCTGGTGGTCCTGGTGGTCCTCTGCTGGAAGCAGATGGGGCGGGGAGGGGGGCAGGGAGGTGAGGAAGGAGTCTGCCTTCAGGCGGGGGGGAGGGGTCTGGGCCAGCACTCTGGGTCCCCACCAGTCCTGGTCTCCCGTCCCCAGCAGGACACTCACAGCTGCTGGCGTTGCTTCTGGGCTGACCAGCGGTGTTGAGGACATTTTCTGTCTCTGGGTGCTGGGTCTCACGTTGCTGATCTTTGTCGCTGTCTGTGCTGGTCCGGCCCTGGGCAGCTGAGGAGCAGCTCCGGCTGCTTAGCTGTGCTATGGAGCCAGGCTGGGGAGGCGGGGGTGACACTTCACAGTTTTCCATCTTTGAGTGTGTTAGGTGTAAGTTCTTCATTCCTGTGAGTCTCTGTTTATGTTCTTCTTGTTGTCGATCTCTTGGGGTGAAGTGTATGTTAGGATCCTACTGTCTGACTGGAGAGAGCAAGGTCGTGCCCTCCTGCTTGGCCGCCATCTTGACAAGCACCAGGTGTGAAATTTTGTCAGTTGGTGAGTTGATGGATATTTGGGCTCCCTGTCTTGGACCATCAGATACAAGTATTCATGTGAATGTGTATTGTTTTTTTGGTAAACACCATTATGGCAAATGTGTTTTCAAGAAACTGTCCAAATCTTTTCCACATCAGCCCCTTTCCCCCATTTATAGACCGGGTCTAGATCTAGGGTCTCCTCTATTTCCTTGCCTTTTTTGGGGGGGGGGTAGGTGTGTGTGTGTGCACATGTGTATGTGTGTGTATTATAATTGACGGGGTGTTCATGGTACACATCTGTCATCCTAGCTACTCTGGTGGCTTAGATTACAGTTTGAAGTCAACCAAGACATGAAAGTCCATGAGACTTATCTCCAGCTAACCAGCAAAGATCGGGAAGTGAGAGTGTGGCTCAAGTAAAGCACCAGCCTTGAGCAGCAAAAACAAATGAGAGCATGGAGCCTTGACTTCAAGCTGTAATACCAGCACGACAATTTTAATAACCATAATTACATGCATGTATGTTGTATATACACATCATATACATTATATACAATTTGTTAGCAGTCTTGGGACTCACGGTCAGGCAGGTGCTCTACAGCTGAGCTACTCTACTGTTTTTCTCTGGTTCTTTTTTAGGATAGGGGATCTTGCTTCCTGTGTGTGTGTATATGCGTGTGTGCGTGTGCACATGCACACTGGTCCAGGGCTTGAACTCAGGGCGTGAGTGTTGTCCCTGAGCTTTTTGCTTAAAGCTAATGCTCCACTTCTTGAGCCACAGCTCCACTTTTGGATTTTGGGGGGTTTATTGAACATACAGAGTCTACAACCTTGCCTGCCCAGAATGGTCATACCCTTTAAAAACTCAGTGGTGATAGCACAGCAAGAAGTATTTTCTACATGAGGAGGCTCACATTTTTTATATTTAACACATCTTACTTCAGAAGGATGTATCTTCAGATAGAAACTTCTGGGAGCATTAATTTTTCTTCCAGAAAAGCAGTCCTTGTAGTAGACATCTATACTAATTTTTTGGGGGGTTGGTCATGGGGCTTGATCTCTGGGCTTGGGCACTGTCCCTCAAGGTGAGTGATCTGCTGCTTGAGCCACAGCACCACTTCCGGTTTTCTAGTGGTTTGTTGGAGATAAGAGTCTCACGGACTTTCCTGCCCAGGTTGGCTTTGAACCGTGATCCTCAGATCTCAGCCTCCTGATTAGCTAGGATTACAAGCGTGAGCCACCGGCGCCCGGCTTTATACTCGTTTTTCGAATTGAAGATAATACGTGTCTTGTGCAGATCAGCGTACATAGCATTTGCTTAGTCCGAGTCTGTGAGGTTGAACGTGCTGAGTTCATACGCACGTGAGAGGCAGCTGTGTGCCCTGTCTCGCTCTCAGGTACTTCATGCACGGCGTGTGTCGGGAGGGCAGCCAGTGCCTGTTCTCGCATGACCTGGCGAACAGCAAGCCGTCCACCATCTGCAAGTACTACCAGAAGGGCTTCTGCGCCTACGGAACCAGGTGCAGGTAAGGCGGGGTGGGGAGGCGGCCGGTGTCCAGTTTAACAGGAATGGAAAGTCATCTCAAACCATGAGAAGTGTAAAGCATAATGTTTTTTTTTTTTTTTTGGTCAGTCGTGGGGCTTGAACTCTGGGCCTGGGCACTGTCCCTCAGCTCTTCAGCTCAAGGCGAGCGCTCTACCACTTGAGCTACAGCACCACTTCCGGTTTTGTGGTGGTTCATTGGAGATCAGAGACTTGCCTGCCCAGGCTGCCTCCTAACCATGATCCTCAGATCTCAGCCTCCTGGGTCCCTAGAATTACAGGCGTGAGCCACCAGTGCCTGGCAACCATCATTTTTGAAACTAATCTTCCGTACATATTTATGTGCCTTTTGGTTTTTTGGTACAAGTACTCGTTCAGTGAGCATTTATATACACAAAGCCTTTGTTTGAAAGGTGGCTCAGCGGTAGATTGCTTGCCTCACATGCGTGAGGCTCTAGGTTCGATTTCTTAGTACCACATAAATAGGAAAGGCGTGCTGTGGCTCAAGTGGTAGAGCACTAGCCTTGAGCTGAGTTGCTCAGGGACAGTGCCCGGGCCTAGAGTTCAAGCCCTACGACAGACAAAAGAAAAAAAGAAAAAAATCTTGTAACTAATAAACTGGAATGTGGGCTGGGTGTGGTTCAGGTAACGGATGGCTGGCCTGCAGGCGTTAAGCCCAACTTCAAACCATAGCACCCATAGCACCCGGGAAATAAAGCACAGCAAAAACCTGTCTGCAGAGTGGAATGCATTGTAAAAGCTTTTTTTGGGTGTGGGTGATAGCAAGGCTTGAACAAAAGTCTACGCATGCTGGGTGGGTGCTCCAGCCACGCCGAGCCATGTTTCCAACCCCACCCCTACCTCCCCAGCACTGAGCACACGTCTGCACTGCTGCCTGTTTTATGCTTCCCGTCATAGGTAGGATAAAAGTATGGGGCACCGTGCGCAGCTTCTTCTACCAAAGGACTTCTCTGCCCGGGCTGGCCAGGGCTACAGCGCTGTGCGAGCCTTCTGCTCTTGCCGGATGCTGAGCGATGCGCCCTTCCACGCGCAGGCCACGCGCAGCGCTCCCCCTAGCGGGCAGTCCTCACGGACGCTCCCAGCGGCCACCTCAGCCACGTGGCAGCGGCAGGTGGCTGGGGCACAGGCAACACGCGTGGCCAGCATGGCTATGACGTGTGTGTGTGTGTGTGTGTGTTTTGTTCAGATACGATCACACCAGGCCCTCAGCGGCAGCAGGCGGCGCCATGGGGCCTGTTCCCCACGCCGGGCCTTCCCCAGGCACGCACAGCCCGCACCCTCCTGACCTCGCCACATCCACCGTGAGAATGCACGCGCACGAGCCGGGGAAGCGGGAGAAGAGGACGCTGGTTCTCAGAGACCGCAGTGCGTGAGCAGCAGCCCACCCAGCCCGGGCTCCTCCATGGCCGCCTCTCCCCCAGGGTCCTCACCCAGGGTTCCCGGGGGCTGCATGCACCCCAGATGGGCGAGTGAGCCCCTCGTTTGTCCCCGTGGAGCATAAAAACAATCTTTAGGGGGTGTCAGCTTGGCGGGGAGCGTGTGCCACCAATGCACGGGTCGGCGCGGCGTCTGCTGGTGTCAGGTCTGGCGTTGCAGGTAGGGCAGGTGCCGGCTGCTCTGACCTCTTAGCAGATGGCAAGAGCTGTGTTCGTTGGCCTCTCCTCACCGTGAAGGCTGTCTGGCTGTCAGTGGTGAGCCTGGAGCCAGGCATGTTCTCCTGGCCAGCCTGTGGGGCCACGGCTGCCGGCCAGAGAGGCTCCTGGGCAGCTCGCATGTGGGCGGCGTGGCTAAGCGGGTCTGGGCTCACCTTCCTGTGCTTGCGAGGCGGGCCCCGGAGGCCGCACCTATAGTGCTGAGGGTTTTGTTGTTTTGGGTTTTTTTTTGTCTGTCCTGGGGCTTGAACTCTGGGCCTGGACATTGTCCCTGAGCTTTTGTGTTCAACGCTAGCACACTACCAGTTGAGCTACAGCTCAACTGGCTTTTTGGTAGTTTTTTGGTAGTTTTAGTGGAGTCTCATGGACTTTCCTGCCCAGCTGGCTTCAAACCTTGATCCTCAGATCTCAGCCTTCTAAGTAGCTAGGGTTATAAGCACGAGTCCCCTGCACCCAGCTTGTAGTGTTCGGGCCCTGATGTTGGGCTTGAACTCTGGGCCTGGGCATTGTCCTTGTGCTCTTCAGCTCAAGCCCAGTGCTCTACCACTTGAGCCACAGCACCACTTCTGGTTTCCTGGTGGTTCTTTGGAAATAAGAGTCTCACGGACTTTCCTGCCTGGGCTGGCTTTGAACCGCGATCCTCAGCTGTCAGCCTCCTGAGTAGCTAGGATGACAGGCGTGAGCCACCAGCTCCTAGCTAGTGTTCTTTTTTTTAATACTGCCATGCTCTGCTCTTTCCTTCTCTCCCGTACTGTGGGGCTTGCGTTTGGTATGTTGTGAGTCTGTAGTTCCTCTCACTTTCCCCTCTTGGCCTCTTTTCGCTCGCTGTTCCAGGCATGCTGCTCGTAGGTCACAGGCAGTGGGTGAATCCTCTGGGCTTCGGCTCTGGGCTGCCCCATTCTCATTGGTTGTGTTTGTGCTCAGATCTGTGTGGCGTGGCTGAGGAGAAGACGTCCGTGGGCGTGGCGAGTCACCCGGGCGGCTGCAGCGACGCCCAGATGGGCCTGGAGACCAAGCCGCACTCCTACCTGGACGCCATCAGGAGCGGGCTGGACGCTGCGGAGGCCGGCGGCTCCTGCGGCGGGGAGCAGCTCTGCCCCTACGCCGCCGCTGGCGAGTGCCGCTTCGGGGACACCTGCGTCTACCTGCACGGGGACGTGTGCGAGATCTGCAGGCTGCGCGTGCTTCACCCCTTCGACCCCGAGCAGAGGAAGGCGCACGAGAAGGTAGTGCAGGGCCTGCGTGGTGTAGCCCACGCGCTGCTGTCGTCCGGGCCGCACACGTGGCACCGGGACGCGCGTCTCACGGTCTCGTTCTCGCATTGCCATCCTAGCATTTTAAAAAGCAATTTGGAATAAGGAGAAAAAGAAGAGGCCTTAGAAGTGTACAGTTCCGAGAATAGATACAACAAGAGCAGGGTGTGTGTGTGCGTGCGCACGCGTGTAAGCACGTTCGTGTGCTTGCCGTCACGCACGCGTGTGCTCACACACCCGGCCTCCTTCCTCCCCAAGGCTCTGCTTGTGTGGCTGGTTGCGGGCGGGCGGCCTGCACTCTGGGGCCTTTCAGGTCCGAGCGTCTCCGGCCCGCAGCTTCCCTCGCACGGGGCTGTTTCTTGCACAGGACACGGGAGGCCCGTGGAGGGGCCAGTGCCGCCGCACTGCGCGCGGGGCGGGGCAGGGGTGTGACATGCAGGGAGCCGCGGTGCTGCAGCGAGCTGGCCCAGGCAGGGCCCAGCCGAGGTGGCACCCAGGTGCCCACGTGTGAGCAAATGTGGCAAAGGAGCTGCCGCTGCAAACCTTCCGCTGTGACGCCAAGCTCGCCGCGCAGGTGCGCAGCTCCAGCACTTCTGATTCTACTGTGGCCGAGTGGGGTGGAACTCGGGAGCCAGGAGGCCGGGGTGCCAGCGACGGTGGGCGCTCACCCCCGTCCTCGGCGGCTTGGCTCTGCGCTGGGGGCAGCCCTGTCCTGCAGGGCATGTGTCTGCGGCCCGGTGACTCCTGCCAGGCATCTGAATCTGGGGACTGGCCACGCAGGTGTGTGCTGCGTGTATCCTGCCCGAGCTCCCTGCCAGCCCTGAGTCTATGCCGCCGCTCCTTGTCTCCTGCAGATGTGCATGCTGACGTTTGAGCACGAGATGGAGAAGGCCTTCGCCTTCCAGGCGAGTCAGGACAAAGTGTGCAGCATCTGCATGGAGGTGATCCTGGAGAAGGCGTCGGCCTCAGAGCGGAGGTTCGGGATTCTGTCCAACTGCAACCACACCTACTGCTTGTCCTGCATCCGCCAGTGGCGGTGTGCCAAGCAGTTCGAAAACCCCATCATCAAGTGAGTGCCAAGGCTTCAGCCGCTGGGCCAGGGGTCTGCGCCGCCTCCTGGCCTCAGCACCCTGCCCAAGCCCTGGCCTGTGGAGCCCCGGGCCGCAGCCTGTGCTCACAGAAGCCACGGCGTTGCGTGCATGGTGCTCCAGCAGCCGGTTCCCTTTTTCATCGTTGTTTGGGACTCCCTGGACTGGTCTGTGGTCACGAGTGCGTGCTACACAGCCTGGCCTCGGAGGCGCCCCGGCAGCTGCCCCCTGTGCTCCCTGCGGGTGTGTCCTGGAGGGGCACAGGCTCTGCACTGGCTCCGCCCTGGGCAGAGTGCATCATCCACCGGACACTGGTGCAGACACTGCCGGGCCCTGCCGGGCAGCCGAGGGAGGCTCTGGCTCTCTGTGCCTTCTCTGGGCACGGCGTGGAAAGACACGTGTGCAGTGCGGCCTCTCGTCACATTTCTGTAGTGTGGCACTGCAAGACCCTGCCCTGTGGACGCGCAGATCAGCACCGCTTTCCACTTCTTTGTAAATAAGTCTGTTGCCTGGGCAGCGCGCCTCTGTCCATCTGTTCACCCGGTGAACAGATGGAGGTGTCCATCTGTGACACCTCCATGCTTGTGAGCACGTCTGTGATGTTTTTCTTCCTGAAGTGTATTCCAGGAGTGGGGTGCAGGCCCTGGGCTAACTGCATTTCACTGAAGGGCCGGACACCCCTGGCACTCCTTGCCCCTCGCCCACCCTGAGACGCCCTAGAGGAGGGAAGCCGTGGCGCCCTCCTGACCACACGCGCGTCCTTCCTGCTCTGGGACGCGCTCCGCGCCGTGCGGCGTCTCCCTGCTTGCAGGTGCAGGACGCCTGCCGCGGGTAGACGCGGGAGCCAGGCTCCACGGAGGCGCGCGGGGTCCAGGACGACCTCCTCTTACACACCTCGTTCTCGCTGCAGGTCGTGTCCCGAGTGCCGTGTTATATCAGAGTTCGTAATTCCAAGTGTGTATTGGGTAGAAGATCAGAATAAAAAGAACGAGCTGATCGAGGCTTTCAAGCAGGGAATGGGGTAAGTGTCTGCTGGCTGGGGTTCAGCCTCTCCTCCCCTCAGGCTGTGCTCCAGGATGGTGAGGTGAGGGGCGTCCTGGCGGAGGGAGCGGTGGCATCCCCTAGGGACCCTGGACGTGTGGGTCTTTGGCAGTACCTATTGAGGATCTTCCACGTCACAGCCTGGTCTCCTGCCGGAGCTGCAGCACCAGGAAGGCTGATGGAAGCCCCTCCCACAGCTGAGGTGAAGTGGCACAAACAGGCAGCTAGAAGGCAGACACACAAAGCCCAGGCCGAGGGAGGAGGAGCATGCTCTGGGTTTCTGTGCCTCGGTGTGGGACTTGAGCCTTGTTGAGATGAGGGATATTCCAGAACATTCCGGATGGAGGGGAGCTGAGTCTTGAGGGGCTCTGTGTGTGGTGTAGGGAGCGCAGCTGTGCTGGGCGCCGCCCTGGAGGGTGTGGGGTGGGCTGTGTGGGCCAGGGGCTTGTCCTGCGCCTTGGACGGCGGCAGGTGAGCGGGACCGACGTGGCCAGGGCTGGGTCTGCGTGAAGCAGCATTGCTGGGCGATGGAGCATGGCCATGGAGCATAGCCGTGTGCAGGGATTTTTTTTCTTTTCTTAACCAACCTTTGATCTTGGCCAATTTAATGTTTTATGACTTTTTAACATTTATTACGTGGTGTGCAAGGGGTTTGCTGTTGAACTTGTTGGGTCCGGTACTTCTCCCTCCACATTTGAATCCGGGCCTCCCGCTCCCTGCCTCGGCCGGGACTCTCCCTTGAGCCGGCGCGCTTGCCACCCCGCTGGACGCTGGACGCTGCCGTCTCACAGGCCGCGCGTGCGCGCTCCTCCTGCTGTGCCGCCCCTGCTCCCGCCCACACCCTCACACCCTCTGCACCCGCTTCCTTTGGCCCTTTACAGACGCCCTTCTCTAAGGCAAGCTGGCTCCCACCCCTTCTGGGTCGCTGGGAAAGCGACTCTGGCAGCACAGAGCTGCCCTCCCTCCCCAGCATCCTTAGCCACCAATTGCTGGGGAGGCGGGGGTTTTCAACATCTGGGACCGCCAGGCGAGTCTCCGTCCCCGCCTGAGTCCTTCACTGGCCTCCGGCCGTCATTTCAGCCAGTGTTCCCTGCCCTAGTTTTTCCTTCCCTGTGACGCCGTCCAGCGGGCTGCTGGGAGCCCTTCCGGTTTTGTCAGTCTTTACTGTTTGCTCACTTCCTGACCCAGTCAGCTGTGTCCTGCCTGGCTTTAAGATCTTACCCTCACTCAGCATTATAAATGCTGTTACAAGCGGCTCCATTGTTTGGCTCCACTGTAAAATCTGTTGGATTTTGACGGTGGGTAGATGACCCAGCTCGGGCTTGGCAGCGCCCGTTATTTGCTGTGGTTTGCATCGCACAGGCTGCTCGGGACACAGGCTGCTGGGGACCTGCTGGTGTCCTGTTGCTTCAGGTGCCATGGAGACTCACGTGCCCTCCCCCCCCCCCCCCGCCACCTCCTCACTGCCAGTGCTAGTGCCTGCTCTTGTTGCGATTTTTTTTGCCAGTCCTGGCGTTTGAACTCGGCCTGGGCACTGTCCCCGAGCTGCTTTTGCTCAAGGCAAGCCAGCACTCTACCACTTGATCTAAGGGGCCACTTCCAGATTTTCCCGTCCATGTGGCACTGAGGAATTGAACCCAGGGCTTCATGCGTGCTAGGCGAAGAACACTCTACCACTAGGCCACATCCCCAGCCCCTTGTTTTGATTCCTGAGCCAGAAAACTATGAAAACATTTTTCCTGGGGGTTTCAGGCATCTGCCTTTCCACAGACCTTGACCTGGGCCGACTTCAGCCACCTCGCCGCTCTCGGCGCTTATGCCCCTAGGAAGCCGCCTACTTGTGTTCCTTCTACAGTGTATTATCGTCACCGGTGGGAGGTTTGTGGAACTGTGACATGTTAGTGGCTCCCTCAAATCCTAATCCCCGCACTCAAGCTGAAGCAGGAGAGGCATAAGTTCAAGGCCAGTGTGGCCTACATGGTGAGGCTCTGTCCAACGACGAACAAAGGTTCCTCACTGCTCAGGAAGCCCCTCGTGCCACCTGTACAGGGGAAGGCAGGCGCAGCTGGGTGCATCGGGCTCCGCACAGGTTCTGAGTAGGAATGTTCCAGTACTGTGGTGGGGACCCTAGGGACTCTTCCTGATGGCATGGTCTTGAACATTCCCCAGTCAGTGGCGGGGTGCTGCGGGCAGCTGGGTGCGGCAGGGCCGTGGGACGGCTCACGGGGCCGTGGTGACAGGTTGGCGATCCCCTGCATGCTTGCGGGCAGGCCGATGCAGTCTGAGCAGCTGCACAGGCCCTGGGCTTGAAGCCAAGTGCGGGAGGCAGCGGGGCTCAGAGATGCACTCACTCACGCATGCATGCGCGCGCACGATACAGACGGGGTGAGCCCCAGCTTGATGCTGGTTTTAAGAGCACAAAGTGTGAGGCGGGGCTCAGGACCTTGCTTGTGACCAGGCTGCGCCTCTCCATGCAAGAATGCCTGCCTGAGGGGCCTCAGAACCGGGAGTCAGCAGGGGTCACCCAGAGAACAAAACCAGAGCAACCTGATTGGCGCTGAGGCTCAGTGCAGAGAACTTGCCTTGCACCAGAAACTCAAGCACAGCTCCGGAGTCCTGCCTGGGGTGGGGACCGAGGGAAATGAGCTTTCCTAGCAGCCGTCTAGGGCCGCTGCAGGGACGGGGAACGTGCAGGGCATTCTTGGGACTTGGGCAGAGCAGGTGGCCGAGCTTCAGACCTTGGCATCTAGGGCACCAGAGGCTGAGGGCTCACAGCAGCCTCCAGTAGGATGGGAGGCCTTGCTCCTTGCAGCCTCTGGATCCCCCTGCCTCCTCTTCCTCCCGCCTCCCTCCCCCTTCCCTGCAGGAGGAAGGCTTGCAAGTACTTCGAGCAAGGGAAGGGGAGCTGCCCCTTCGGAAGCAAGTGCCTGTACCGCCACGCCTACCCTGATGGGCGCCTGGCAGAGCCCGAGAAGCCCCGGAAGCAGCTCAGCTCTGAGGGCACCGTGCGGGTGAGAAGGGCGTCCGAGCTGGGGCTGGGCGGCGGGGGTGCGGGGGACAGCCCTCCTGACCTGCTACGCTGCGGCCCCTGTGCAGTTCTTCAACTCTGTGCGGCTGTGGGATTTCATCGAGAACCGGGAGACGCGGCAGGCGCCCGCCACGGACGACGACGACGTGGCCGAGCTCGGGGATCTCTTCATGCACCTTTCCGGAGTGGAGTCGCCAGAAACCTAGTCAGGGGTGCTCCCGACTTGGCTGTGCCAGGTGCCCCGTGCAGCCCGCAGTGGCGTGGGGCTGGGCCCAAGCGGAGAGCGCCTCCCCTGGCCTCATCTCACCGCGGGGCAGCTGGGAAGAGCGAAGGGATAAAAGGGCGTGTGCCTCGCCCCCACGATCACTATTTTTATAGCTGATTTTAGTTGTCCCTCCGGCCCCCGGGGACCAGCTCGCCCTTCCAACTACTCTGATTGCTTTGAAAAGAAACCTGGCTCCTGTCCTTTGTGAGTTTTTCTCAGAAGCAGCCGCCTGCAGCCACGCGGGAGGCCCGCCATGGTAACGTCCTGCCGTGAGAAGGCCTTGAGCTCCATGAACGCTGCACACGCTGGCCCGTGGCTCTGAGCCTGTGGAGTGAGGACGTCTCTCTCATGTCCCAACTCAGCCACCGTCCACCCTCCGGTGCATGGCATGGTCCAGGGCAGGCGTGCTGTCTGGCGGGGGGTGGCCAGCACCGCCTGTGGGCTGAGGCCCGCCCTGCCCGCTCCATCCATCCTTCAGCCCTTTTGTGTGACCCTGGCTTCACTCCAATGTGTGAAAACTTCACAGCACCCAAGACAGTTTCTGACCGTGACTTGATTTGAACTGGAGTGCAAACAGACTTGCAAGGCAGAACATTTATTCCAAACCTTAGTTTTATCTATTTTTGTAAAAAGCCGAATATTTTATAAAGGTATGGGCTGCGGATGTCTTACCTGAGTGAGTGTGGAGTGCGTTCCTTGCCAGCTAACTGCAGCAAAGGTTTCAGAAGGAGCTGGCACGGACGTGGGCCCGGCTGAGCCCATCTCCAGCCGAGCTCTGCACCTGCCTGCGCCTGCATTTCTGCTGGGAAGGGGGTGGGGGAGGTGTTCCTTTTGAAGGAGCTCGTAGCCATTACACCTAAACTTAATTTATTTTATTAAAATAACATCATTGAGGAGTCATCAGATAACTTGTATCTTGTCAGACGCAATAAACAAAATTAATTAAAACCCAAATCATTAAGAAAACCTGTATTTCCTGGCTTTCTTGCAGATGTGATGTGACTATAGGCAGGGCTGGCCCGTGGCCCGCCCCACAGGGGCAACTCCTGGAAGACAAACCGAGCATGGGGGGGGGGGGGAACGGCTGGGGAGGGGAGGCTGCTCCCAGGGGGGCTGGTGGAGCACCTTGCCTCCCCACAAGGTCAGCTGTGGGCGCCGGGAAGGAGGCTGTGTCCCCCAGTCACACTCCTTAGTACCAAAGCAGGCTCCTCCGGGCGGCTGGCGCAGCAGTCCGGGGCTGTTTGGTGCATTACGTGCAAAACTGTTTGGCCACGCACCACTGTGAAAAGCCCACATCCACAGCCCCGTGTCCCCGCAGTGGGCTGGACAGCTTTGTGCCCTGGACGTTCATCTGACAGCCAGAGCCCAGCTTCCATGCCACTGAACCAAGGGAGGCTCTGGGCAGGGCCAGGAGCAGGAGCAGGATTGGCCAGCCTGGGAGTGGCTTCCTTCTCCAGGATCAGGTAGAAAAGAAGGCAACATCCGTGATGGTAAGGCCCCGTGAGTTGTCTAGATGGTCCTTAGCAGCAGCAGCAGCAGCTCCTCTGAAAGCATGCACTGTGCTCCCAAAGAAAGGGGACAGAAAAGTGCCCGCTCCCTCCTTCCTCCCTGGGTGGCCAGAGCACAGGTGCAAAGTCAGCTAGAAGACCGGCAGCCGCGGGGACGTGGTCAGCGTGCAAGAGTTGATGTCCTCGGTGTGGGCTGCGCGGTGCAGGGAAGGCTCAGACGCACTCCGGTTGATTTTCGGCAGAGAGTGTTGGAGCAGCTCAATGGAAGACAGGATCTGAAACAGGCCACACCGTGGTCTCTTGGTTGGGGCCACGCTTCCTGTTGGGTCCAAAGACAGGCCACCCCCTACCCGGGACGGGACGGGACGAGGCGGCCATCCTCCCCTCAGTGGCAACCCTGCTGCTCCAAGTGCTGCATGCACCCCAGGAGCACCTCACCTGGGGGAAGAGGGGCCTCTCCTCCTTCACCTTCTTCACACAGTCAGCCACCAGCCGTTTCATTGCTTTGGGGCAGTTCTTGTACAGCCTGCTGAGATCTGGTGAGGCGTACCCTCGGCCCACCATGAAGATGATCTAGGGAAAGAAAGGCATTGAGAAAGGGAACAGAGCCCAGCCTCCACTGCACAGCGTGTCCCACTCGTCACCTGGTCTCGGTCGCTGATGTGGGAGTAGGGCAGCTCCCCGGTCATCAGCTCGTACAGCACGATGCCGTAGGAGTAGACATCCGACTGGAAGCTGAACGGGTTGTTATCCTGCATTCGGATCACTTCAGGGGCCTGTGGAAAGCAGACACATCTGTCCTGCAGGGTGACCCACAGCAGCCCCTTCCACTCAGTAGGGAAATCCTGTCCTGGGACATGACACACTTCTTTGTGGTTACTGAAGTTTGAACTTAGGGCACTGCACTCACCAGACACTTTTTGAATAAGAGGGTGAGGGCGGGGGCGGGGGTGGTGTGTGCGTGTGTGCGCGCACCATTCCTGGGGCTTGAACTCAGCTGTCCCTAGGCTTTGAGGCTCAAGGCTAATGCTCTACCACTTAAGCCACAGTTCCACTTTTGGCTTTTTTAGAAGATATTTGGGAGATGAGAGTCTCATAGGCCTGGGCTGGCTTCAAACTGCCATCCTCAGATCTCAGCCTCCTGAGTAGCTAGGATTAGAAGTATGAGCCACTGGCCCCTCGAATGGCATTTCCTGTTCATTCTCAAGCCTACCCAGATGGTGACCCTCCTGTTCATACCTCCCATGTGGCTGGGAGACAGCACATACCACCACGCTGGGATCTTGCCCAGGCTGGCTTCAAGCTGTGACCCTCCTGGCCGCTGCCTTCCATGTGGCTGCGACCGTAGCTACAGCCACCACGCCAGCTGTTCCCTGAAGGACTTGACTCTCGGGCTCACTCTAACTCGGGTCCTGCTCTCTGCTGCCTCACCCATGCTGAGCTTCCTTCCGCTTTCGCTCCATACAGTCTGACACTAGAGGAATTTACTGAGGTGCGGGGAAATGCACAGGGCTCTGCGGTGCGGCCCCAGCGGTGCGCAGAGGACAGCAGTGGGCATCTAGGTCCTCACCATCCATAGCACAGAGCCAGTGGGCTGCTCAACCTGCTGAGAACCACTCCAGCGCGACTTCACCGTTGCCAAACCAAAGTCTCCAATTTTCACCGTGAGGCCTTCGTGGAGAAATATATCTCAATGCCTGTTAAGGACTCTGGCATTCTCAGAACTGAAGTTTACATTTCTGGAGTTTGAAAGTGCTTTTGAAATTGCCTCTATCCCCACAAGGCCATGGCCTTATAATCTTCCTGGGACTGTTACAGAGTTCTTCCAGGCTCAGCCACACCTCTGCCTGCTTTCTGCATTCACACAGCCCACGGATGGAGTGCTGAGTCGGGAGGAAATCTCACTAGATTACCAACGGGTAGCCCGGGAAGTCAGACCTCCTCCTCCAGTCTGCGCCGCCTGCTGGCATAGCGTGGCTGGATGCTAGAAACCCACCCAGCTGTGACCATCTCCAGCCTCGGATGAGTAAGTACCCAACACAGGCCATGTCCTGATCCAGCTCCTCTCCCCAGCTAAGAAGCAGAACTGGGTTCTAATACCTCCATGCTCCTCACAGAGGTGAGGAGTGTGGCAAGAGCAGAAAGTTGAAATCTGAAACACATAGTTTTCCACACACCCTGAAGACTTGCCTCCACTCACACTTCTGAAACACACTGAGCCTCAGGAAGAGGCAGGAACCCGCTGCAGATCAAGGTCTTTGTCTTGAGACGGGGTCTCCCTCCGTAGCTAGCTGGCCTCAAACTCACCGTCCTCCAACCCCAGCTTTCACAGCTGTCCATCACAGGCGCTTGGCACCACACCTGCTGCACTTTTGGGAATCTTCTAGCATTTGGCTTGTAGACAAGTTATCACCTTTATATATATACACCTCCTCCACAAAGTAGAAAAAATAAGTAGGTCTATTTTAAGTTTAACCAAAATGTGTATCGCAACTCTTGTGGGAATGTTTTCAAATCACGTTTTAAAAAGAAAGGAACTTTCCCCAGAAAACACAGCACAGCACAGATGAGTTTGTGGAAGGCAGCCACTCTTCTGGTGCCTACAGATTTTGCTTCTCCACCAACTTCCTGACTTTTGCCCTTTCCTAAAAAGTTGTCCCTCAGCACGGAGGCTCCCCTGTGACTCCTGGAGCCCAGAAGCAAGCGGTTTGTTGGACTCAAATCACCAAAGGATACTGTTGGATTTCATGTCTCTGTGGATGATGTTCTTTGCATGGAGATAGCTGCGAAGGGAAAATGAGTGAGTCAGACAATTTCAAGTAGCTGGGAAATAAAGCCTGCCTCCAGGGAGGCTGTGCAGCCGTCTGACCCCACCCATGGGGATCAGCACAACCATGCTAACACTTTAAGCACCAACTGTCCTTCCAAGTCCTTCTGACACCAGTGCCCATCACCTAATGGACAAGTAATGTGACATCCCCAAAATTAAGTCTCGTGCAGGTTCCAACTTGGATTTACCTTCAAACAATTAAGCCAAGTAAAAGAAACTAAGCATAGAAGACCGTATCTTAAACTTCATACGGCCTGACTCTGCTTATATGAAACACGAGATCTAGAGACAGGATGTGTGTGCCAGGGCCTGTGTGGAGGTGACTGTTAATGAGCGTGGGTTCTTTCTGGAGCGATTGAAAATGCCCTTTTAAAATTAGACTGTGATGGTCGTATTACTACAAACATACTAGGATAAACTGATAGAAGGATGAATTTCAGTGTTTCAATTAGACTTCCGTTTTTTTTCACGTAATTCTGACAAATTTCTTAAGATTCTGAATTCCACATGAATTTTAGGACAGAAATGCAGACTGCAGCATTTGCATGCGGACCACAGCCAGAGGGGTCTGAGGCTCCCTGTGCCTTTACCCTAAGGGCGTGTTTATCCCGTGGTGCTTCTGATGCAACACTTGCAAGGCACCGTCTCTAGCTCTGAGGACTGTAGCCAGCACAGAACTGTGGCCAGAGGGCAGAACATAACCGAGAGCTGGGATGAGTCATAAAAGGAAAACAAATCATCTCCAGGTGACATCCCACCGGGCCTCGGTACTGTGTCCGCCTGACACAGCAGCGCAGGTCCAGCCGCAGAGCTCAAGAAGATGGCGCCGGTCACGCTCTGTGGTCACGCCTCCCCAAAAGCTGAGTAGCAGCTGGAGCTGGGACCTGGGCCCAGTGCGGAATGTGCACTTCTCATTCTTACCAAGCCTCCATTGGGCCACACAGCAAAGACCCCACCTGATCAGACCACGCACCGCAAAGCGAGACAAGGGCCGCCCGGCCATCTACTCACTCCATCCCCTGGGCCGTCTGCCGCGCGATGTCAATGAGCTGGAACATCTGGAACTTGGTCTCCTGGACGTGCAGGTGTTTGTAGAGGCTGCTGCCCTCGCACCACTGCGTCACGATGGCCAGGTTGTCCTTCGTCATGTACCCCATGAAGAGCAGTATGTTCACATGCCGGGTTTTGCTGCGGGGAGAAGAGGGTGCTCAAGACCGTCTATTTCCCACAGGCACCCCAACTCGAGAGGACTGGTGGAGAGAAGCTATGGGACTGCCAGCCGGGGTTCTAGCAAAACGAGGAGCTGCTCTTGGAGCCCCTCTGTGCTGGCCATGCCAGTGCCCTCCACTGGGGCAGCAAGGACCCTCCTCTGTGGAGTCCACACTATCCGTTGCTCTCCCACAAGTCTGAATGGTGAGCAAAGACTGGAAAGCGGGAGGTGCTAGACCCAGAGGAAAGCAGACCAGCACATAGAGGAAAACAACGGTAACAAGAGAGCCATTTCCCTACTGCATGTCACCACCAGCCAAAAGCTGGGCTGCTGAGTGCCGTGGGCCCCGAGAGCTGAGCATAGAAAGACTCGTGCCTGATCTGCACCGCAATGCTGAGCAGGTGGCACTGTCCACCCCAGGCCCGGCCTGCTGCTCTAGCAGCCACTCACCGCAGCACAGCAACCTCGTTCCTGAACGCCTGGAACTGTTCTGGGGTTGGGTCGACAACCTTCAGGATCTTCACTGCAACATCGCCTGAAAATGAGTTTGTAGTCAGTGTAGACTGTTTTTTTTTGAGGGAGAAACAGTGAGTTACTTTTCAAACCGTGCATCCGCTCATACGGAACCATGAGGCCAACTTTGGAATGGAGGGCAGAAGCATCAGTAAGTGGCTTCACTTAGCAGGCCTGGTGCAAAGCGGCCCACCAGTCCTGGGGGCCCAGGAGCCAGGTCATGCGGGACGCACCAGCAACCTGGCTGATGGATGCCAGGGTGTGGACGGACTGGACCCAAGATAGCCCTCTACATACGATGGACACCATCATGAGGCTTCTTTGCCTTCTGGACCATTAAAAAGTAATCCTGTACCAAATGCTCACTGCACCCTGATCGCCTTTAACAGCGCCCTGTGCTGTGACGTCAGCAGTCCCCCTCACTCTGCGGTCACCAGCAGAGGGGAGTCCCCTCCTGAGGGCACCTAGCCGGAAACAGAAGGCGCTGGAGACCCAGCCCCAGGCAGGGGGCGCGCTCAGCCCCCCCCACCCCCGCCCCTGCAGGATGGAACTGGGACCCGCCTCTTCATGCTGCTTCAGAAACGCTCGGGAGCAACTCTACTCCATACAGGCTAGAGTTACAAGTCATTTTCAAAGTGTCTTTATACAGTTGCGTTTATAGTTATTACAATCTGTTACTTAATACCCTTTAATGACCTCAAATTTTCATGAATGAGTTTGCTAAAACAAGGCCTTCCACTCAGGCGGTTGAGGTCAACCTGGGCTACACAACAAGCTACCATCTCAAATACAAGAAGGCCAAGCATGGTAGCTCAAGCCTATGATTCTAGTTACTTGGGAGGGAGAAATTTGGAGGATCTCAGTTCTAGATCAGCCCAGGCAAGAAGTTCAGAAGACTCTCAACCAATGGCCAGGCATGGTGGCAAGTGCCTATCATTTCTGTGTGGGGAAGTCTGAATAGGAGAATCATGGTTCTGGTTGATCTAGGACTACAGTAAGATCCCATCTTGAAATTAACCAATGTAAAAAGCGTAGAAGAACACGGCTCAACTGGTAGAGCACCGACCTAGCAAGGGCAAGGAGTTCAATCACAACAGAAACACCAGAACCCTAGGCTTTCAAATGATAGAAGTAGGGGTCGGTGGAGGGTGCCTGGCGCCACCCCCGGCATGAGGAGTGCAGTGTCGGGGTAGGGCCTCTCTCTGGAGCACTGCTGGTGCACAGACCTTGTCTGCGTGTGTGCCAGCACTGGGCTTGAACTCAGATCATCAGTGGCAATGAGCCCCAGGCGCACTGAGAAGTGGAGGCACTGCACCGTTCAGGGGATCCTTTCGTTCAGGGGATCCTTTCAACCCGTACCTTGGCACCAGAACAGAAATTCAAGCACCTAGGTGCTTCACAGCTTTGCTGTATTATAACCTGAGTTAAGAAGAGATGTTTGTTTGTTTTGTGGGGGGAGGGAGGGGGGAATATAGCATTTTCAAGAAAATGCTGCCTGTATGTGCTAACACCTTGAGCCTGAGGCCCTAAACACCTGACACAGAATGTTAAGTACATTGCCAAAAACACACTGCATAGCTAGAAGTTACAATCGTGCCTTGCTTCTGAGTGAGAAGTGTCTCCATATCAATAAGAACTCTCAATGCGCGCACTCGAGGGCGCGCAGAAGCGAGCTCAGGGCCACGGGCTTTCCTGGCTTCCCTAGTCTCAGCAAAGGACACATCAGCCGCTCTCTGGACTGCAGTTTTTCTGATGTCGGCTCCAGCTTTAAGTCCATAGACCACGCCCAACAGCTGCAGACTCCACTCATTTAATGGCTTCACAGCACGTCCCATGGGCAAGCTGCTTAGTTGCAGAAAAGCGTCCCTGACATACCTGCAGAGCTCACACCTTGTTCATCTGCTCATCCTGAGGACGGCACACCATGCAAAGCACAGTGGTCCACAGAGCACTGTGCACTGACCACAGGACCTTGGGGTGCAGAGGAGTGCCACCAAGAGCCGAGGAGTGGGGCCTCCACGCCTGCTGTGCAGGGCGCCCCAAACTCACCATGCCACTTGCCCTTATACACGGTGCCAAAGGAGCCAGACCCAATCCGAGTGGACAGCATCACTTCACTGGCTTCAATCTCCCAGTAATAGCTTGAATCTCTCTGTCCACGAGGCCTCTGAAACAAGCAGGAGCATTCACAAACTCCTAGGAATAACACGTCAAAGAGAGGGGCAATCCGACCCAGCCTGTTCCCTTACCTTGTGAAATCTGTCTTTGGGAAATGCTATAGCTTGCCTATGGCAAACTGCCAAGGCATCTGACACAAAGATGCCAACAACGGTACTAACACGTATCATCTCTTTCACTTGGTAAATTTTACCAGCCCCATTCCCAATGAAGTTAACTGCGTTCTAATTCCCAGCCAGTCCATTCTCAGTGCACCTTCAGTGGCAGAACCTGCTGCTGGCCATACTCACAATTTTGTTTTTCTCCTGCATTCCGGATCCTGGTGCCCGCTCCCTTTGTACCGGCACGGGGGGTTTGGGCTGGGACCAGCCTGTGGGGCTCAGGTTGTTAGGGCTGCTGGATAGGGCTGAAGGAGAGGCTTAGCAGATAAGACAAACACAACCACACGTGAATAAGCCAACAGAAGACAAACTGGCACGAAGAGAAAAAAGGACCATTACTGTTTGCTAAATGAGGGAAAAGTACCTGATTCACTGTGACTTCGAATTGCATCCTGAAAGAAAAGGAAAATGAGTCAAATCAGATACTGCAAGAGCTCTCTGGAAGAGGGAAAAGAAAAGAGTTTACAGGAACAAAATGGAGTATAAAACTTCTGAAACACAAAGTCAAATTTCACATTTACCAAATGTCTGGGGCCAGTTTCTTTTTTTTTCTTTTTTCAGTTGGTCGTGGGCTTGAACTCAGGGCCTGCGTGCTCTCCCTGAGCTCTTCAGCTCAAGGCTAGCGCTCTACCACTTGAGCCACAGCACACTTGCGGCTTTTTCTGTGGATGTGGTGCTGGGGAATGGAACCAGGGCCTCGTGCATGTGAGGCAAGGCTCCACCACTGAGCCACCTTCCCAGCCCCTGGGGCTAGTTTCTTCAAGACTAGTCTTGAATGAAACAATTTTTCATATGGAAAACATTTTTTTTCCAGAGAAAAACAATGTAAATAAACTATATACTCTTGTCAAGAAAGACTAAAAAAGTGACTATCAGCTGGGATATTTCCAAAGACATTTTGCTCTGAGAAAGCTTAAAAAAAAAAAAAAGCAGGAAGAGAGAAAATGAGAAGGGAAAGCTCGCAGCGGTGCGCCTCCTCTCCCACACTAGTAGTGGCTGTTACTCTATCTGAGCCTAGTCACAGAAAGAGATACAACACAAGCCTACCCCTCAACTACACGTGCGAAAAGCACCTGTGATGCAGCCCCGCAGCAGGAGGTAGAAAGGAAGCGTGGTCACCGTGTGTGGCTGCAGGCAAGGCCAGCACAGAGCACTGTCTCCGCCTACACTGACATACTCCTCAGTGACAGGTCAAAGGTTACTTCTGGAATGTCTTGGAAACTGTTTGGAGAACTGTTTCAATCACAAGAGGCCACTGTGTTTAAACGTGTGTTTCTGGGAGGTTCTTTGAGAACCAGGGTGGGACAAGACACCAGTGCTCTGGCGCTGTCCGACTGTGACAGGACACGCCCACTCAGCGAAGCTCAGGGTCACACTATGAGGCCCAGGCCAACTCCATCCCCTCAGTGCTGGGCTTGCAGATGTGGCCACACATTTGGCTCTCAAGGACATCTTGTCAGGAGAGAAAACAATCGTAGATGTTTCTCCACTGCTCCCCTCCCTCTCTCCCTCCCTCCCTCCCTCCCTCCCATTTTAGCGGTGTTGCCAAAGCATCTTCAGAGTTCTTAGTAAGGCCTGGTTCTGGTTCCCCAATCTGGCCAGTCTTCACAAATCACCTGGAAAGGGGCCTGCAACATAAGCCCCGCCCGCCTGCGAAGGCTGATTGTGAATATGTGAGGGAAGATGGAAGCCAGGGTCTATGCTAAGTGCAGTCGAGTGAGTGCCGAGGGGCAGGATGCTGGCAGAAATGACCTGGACATCAACAGAACTACCAGGAGCTGGGGCTGCATCATCCACCCAACCTGGTCTATGCTTGCTGTCGAGCAAAGTACAATGCATTTTTATTAGCCATTATCGTTATTTTCCTATACCTTGTATTTTATTTGATGGCAATTTTTACAATTTTATCAATTTATTCTAGGAGAGAGTTTTTTTTATATAAAACTAGAATCTAAATATTAGTTTAGAAGAATTATAACCTGCAGGGCACCGGTGGCTCATGCCTGTAATCCTAGCTACTCAGGAGGCTGAGATCTGAGGATCACAGTTCAAAGCCAGCCCGGGCAGGAAAGTCCGTGAGACTCTTATCTCCAATAAACCACTCGAAAACCAGAAGTAGAGCTGTGGCTCAAGTGGTAGAGCAATCGCCTTGAGCTGAAGAGCACAGGGACAGCGCCCAAGCCTAGAGTTCAAGCCCCACGACTGCCAAAAAAAAAAAAAAGAAGAATTATAACCCTTTAAAATAAAACAACAACATCCAGCTTAAAATGCTGATCAAAAGGATTTTGGGGGGGGGGGGGGGGGGGAATCAAAATTGACTTCCAAAGTATAGGAAGGCAAAAACACAGCAGTCAAGCCCAGGTATTTCATAATAAAAACTGCAGTTTTTCACTTTTAAAATTCCTTCTTGGAATTAGCATGTGTAAGAGAAAACGAATCATCTAATAGAAGAAAAAACAGCTGCTCTATATGGCGTTATTATGAGGACTAAGTGTAATGACGTAACAAATAAACTTCAGAATGCACACAGCCACCACAGCAACGAGGGAAGAAGCATGCCAGAGTTGCCTGTGGTTTGGGACAGCTGTGACTAACATGGAGGTACCTCTGAGTTCTCTCAAAGATTAATTCTTGGTACAGGGTTCCAGGGCATATCAATCTATCTGTATTTTCTTTTTCTTTTTCTTGCCAATCCTGGGGCTTAACTCGGCCTGGACGCTGTCCCTCAGCTCTTCAGCTCAAGGCTAGCTCTCTACCACTTGATCCACAGCGCCACTTCCAGTTTTTTCTGCTTATGTGGTGCTGAGGAATGGAACCCAGGGCCTCATGCATGCTAGGCAAGCGCTCTACCACTGAGCCACCTTCCCAGCCCTAGAACTAATTTTTCAAAAAATAATCTTCAATGCCATTGGCTTAAAATATTTAACTTGAAAAACACATTTTTCAGTAAAATCATATACAGTACATTTTTATTCACACATACTCTTGACAACAAAATGAAAACATAGAAAGCAGTGTAAATAGAAATATAAACTTTAACCCAGCAATTGCTTCACTGCCCAACAGTCTTAGCCCTTAATCATAAGAGAGCAAAGGCATGAAGAAAAATACCTACTCTTCCCCTCAAACAAAATCGTCTGGACCACGCCCTGGGAGAAGCATTCAGGCTGTTATTCTAGTCCAAAGCAATGAGAAATAAAGAAGAATAAAGAACAAAGCAAGTATTTTGAGTGTATGCAGTTGTTAATAACGATGAACTCGAAAGTAAACTAAACAAGAACATACCACAAAGCCAAGAGAAGAAAGAGCAGTTTGGAAACTCTAGCTAGGAGCACTTTCAAAACTGCCTAAACACCTGCTAATTAAACTCTAGGACTGCAGCCATCTACTTCTAAATACAATCAACAAACTTGTAGGAGGTACTAACTGCACCTCACTGTTACTTTCTCTCACACACAAACATGGAACTATGGAAGTACTCCACACAGCTTTCAAGCTAGCTAACTGGAAACACTATCCAAATCTGATGCGCGGAAAGGACAGCCTCTCTGCAGGAGGCTCTGCTTCTCTACCTGATCTACCAACCTAAGGATACGGCCAGGCTACAAATGTCATGAACAAAGAAAAACACTGCACCACTCCTCATTAGGTTTGAAACCTGAAACTTTCTACCCAAACCCACCAGCGAAACTCCTCACCAGCCCCAGGATACCCCGTTACCTCGATCATCCTGCTGTCCACAGGCAGGGCGGTGCTGACCATGTGGACATTGGGTGTAGAGGTGGACCGCTGCCTCTGGGACAGGGAGCCTTCGGAGGAGGGGCTGGAGGCATTGAAAGTGAAGGCGTGGGGCGTGGAATGCCTGTGGTAGGTGCTGGGCAGAGAGGAGAAAGGAAACCCCATGTTGGCACTTAGGCTGCCATGCTGGTCCAATCATGCAACTATCTTCCGCAGTAAGGTATTTCAAGAGCAAATTCAGGCACTTCAGCGTGCCAATTTTTGAAAAGAAAAATAACATATGCACTTGGTATTTCACACACACAAAAAAGGGGAAAAATACCCTGTATGTTCTCCCCTTTTTAATAAATCAGCTATGCAGAAGACCAAGTGTTTATAGCATCTCTAGAGAAACAACAGACTGACTTTTTTGGAGCACTATCGTCTCCTAGGCTGGCGGGAACTGCCTACCTTCACTTAAAGACTAAATTCGAGGATGTGAGAGATCTTTGAACAAGTGTAGTTAGAGCTGTAGAGCACATCTGCGAAGTGGACACAAGGTACGGCCCACTGCGCCCTCCCCACACAGTCCACTGGGCACCTTATTCCCACTTGGGGCTCCAGATTGGCAGCAACTGAAGTTAATCGCTGGCTTTTGTTCAGCCGCACAGCTCTCTCACCAGACAAACCAGAGCATTAACATGATATTGTAGGATGGAGATATAGCTCAGGGTTACAGCACTGACCTCATATGTGTGAGGTCCTGGGCCCATCCCAGCACAGCACAACAACAGAACAAAACACACCAGTTATGTCTGGGCATGTGGCTCAGGAGCCCAGTTCTCATGGGCCTAGGTGAGGCCAGAGGTTCCAGCCCCATATTGTTCCATCCCCTCCATACTGTAACGTGTAATGTTTCACTATCTGCTATACAGATTAGCTTAGGCTTTGTTCAGCTGAGGTATGAACGCATTGTGAACTCAAGGGATGAAAGTCTGGATTTTCTAAGGGAAATTGTTCTCTGATCTTGAAAAACCACCTTCTCCGGCCATTCTCTGTGCTTCTGGAAGCCGAGCTCCTCCTCATTGTTGGAGGCAATCAAACATGAACACGTATCATGATGATACAACCCCTTTTTGAAGAGGCTGCCTTTATTCCAGGCTGATTTCAAAAGGCCACTAAACATTACCTCATTACATATAGATTAAAGCCAGATATTCTGAACAAAGACATTTTATTTTAGACTCTAAATTCTTATGTAACACTGAGAAATGGTAACTAAATTCTGAAAGCCAGTAAAGACAAATTACATGCTTAATTCAAAGGCCTATTAGAAAGGATATTTATTTATTTTTATTTTTTATTTTTTGGGGGGTCCGGTCGTGAGGCCTGAACTCTGTCCCTCAGCTCTTCAGCTCAAAGCTAGCGCTCTACCACTTGAGCCACAGCACCACTTCCGGCTTTTTTCTTTTTGCTTATGTGGTGCTGGGGAATCGAACCCAGGGCCTCAGGCATGCAAGGCAAACGCTCTACCACTGAGCCACCTTCCCAGCCTGTAGAAAGGACATTTATAATGTTATAATGAAACCCAGTTTTGTACAATTAATGCATGCTAATAAGAATAAAAAATTTGGAAGTGGTGCTGTGGCTCAATTGGTAGAGTGCTCGCCTTGAGCTGAAGAGCTGAGGGACAGCGCCCAGGCCTAGAGTTCAGGACCCTCAACCAACAACAACAACAAAAAAAGTTGCAAAAATAAATAAATAATTTAAGAGGATATTTATATTGAAAATATCATTATATCATTTGTTCTTTGGAGGGGGGGTTGGTTGTGGGGCGTAAGCTCTGGGCCTGGGCGCTGTCCCTCAGCTCTTCAGCTCAAGGCCAGCTCCTCACCACTTGAGCCACAGAGCACTTCCAGCTTTTTCTGCTTATGTGGTGCTGAGGAATCAAACCCAGGGCCTCATGCATGCGAGGCAAGCACTTTACCACTGAGCTACCTTCCCAGCCCCTCACATTAGATCTTTTTTTTTTTTTTTGGAGGGGAGGGGGGGGTCCGGTAGTGGGGCCTGAACTCTGGGCCTGGGCGCTGTCCCTCAGCTCTTCAGCTCAAGGTTAACGCTCTACCACTTGAGCCACAGCGTCACTTCCGGCTTTTTTCTTTTTGCTTATGTGGTGCTGAGGAATCGAACCCAGGGCCTCAGGCATGCAAGGCAAGCGCTCTACCACTGTGCCACCTTCCCAGCCCCTCATTAGATCATTTTGAAAGATAGTAGTCTATATATAACACATAGCTTTAGCAATTGAAGTATAATAAGTGTCTTCAAGTTAAGGGTTTTCGTCTTATGAAATTAATGTATTCTGTTTGGGGCCCTTTTCTTTTTCTTTTTTTGGTTGGTCGTGGGGGCTGAAGTCTTCAGCTCGAGGCTAGCGCTCTACCACCTGAGCCACAGCGCCAATTCAGGCTTTTTTCTGCTTATGTGGTGCTGAGGAATGGAACCCAGGGCCTCATGCATGCCAGACAAGCACTCTGCCACTGAGCCACCTTCCCAGCTGTTTGGGGCCCTTTTCATTGAGGCTTACCTCAGTACTATTTGAGGAAGACAGAACCTCAGGGTTTTGAAACCTCACTAAGACATCAAGAGGTGTTGTGAAAACAGAAGAACAACAGTCTAGTCAAGGTGTCTGTGGACTATACAAACCCAGAATCCCGGGGCCAAACTTTGACAGCGCTACCAGAAACGCAGAGACTAAGGAATGTGCACACACTGGAGCAGAGTGAAAGCAGTCTCTGTCTTTTGAATTTGAGCTTCCAACTCCACTCATCCCATCTAACTTTTAAAAAAGAAAAGCTATGGGTACAAAATTACCTGGGAGGCGCTCGGGAGACAGACTCTCGCATCCGCCGCATTGTCAAAGAAGGTAGTGCTGGAACCCCACTATCACCAATAGTGGAATTGGGAAACAGCCTAAGTGAAATGAAGGGGGTTGACAGGTTTAAGACATTCTACGGAGACCACAGGCTGCCGTGCCTTGTCCCACAACTATCTATCCAACCCAACTTTGCCCAGTCTCCCATTTTCCTCAAATACTGTAAGCACCTGATGTAAAAAGACTATTGTGACCGATGGCACACTGGGTGATGATGGCCCGCCAATACAGCACACAGGCTCCAGCCAGCACTGCTAGGAAATACCTGCCAGTGTCTTGGTATACCAAAGTAACATGGTTTGATTCTGGTGCATGTGTATGCCCATGCTTGCCTGGCACTGGGGCTTGAACTGAGGACTCATGGTCTAGCTCTGCTTTTTCACTCAAGGCTGGCATTCTACCACTTGAGCCTCACCTCAAGTTCTGGCTTTAAGCTTGCCAGCTGGAGATAAGAATGTGAGGATTTTTCTGTCTGGGCTGACTTCAAATGGTGATCCTCAGATCTCAATATCCCGAATAGCTGGGATTAAAGGCATTAGCAACCAGCACCAGGCTAAAGGAATTTTTTAAAAAACTATAGTATGTTATTTTACAAAACCCTTCACACTCTAGCCATTTTAATTTTTTTTGGGGGGGGGGAAGGGGTTGGTCATGGGGCCTGAACTCTGGGCCTGGGCGCTGTCCCTCAGCTCTTTAGCTCAAGGCTAGCGCTCTACCACTTGAGCCATAGCACCACTTCCGGCTTTTTTCCCCCCTCTGCTTATGTGGTGCTGAGGAATCGAACCCAGGGCCTCATGCATGCAAGGCAAGCACTCTACCACTGAGCCACCTTCTCAGCCCATTACTTTTTTTTTTTTTGGGTCCAGTCGTGGGGCCTGAACTCTGGGCCTGGGCGCTGTCCCTCAGCTCTTCAGCTCAAGGCTAGCACTCTACCACTTGAGCCACAGCGCCACTTCTGGCTTTTTTCTTTTTGCTTATGTGGTGCTGAGGAATCGAACCCAGGGCCTCTGGCTTGCAAGGCAAGTGCTCTACCACTGAGCCACCTTCCCAGCTAACTCTAGCCATTTTAAACCCAAACACAGTTTTCTCCAGAGTGAGGTGAACCACCCAGCAAGGCGCTGGTGGTTCACACCTATAATTCTGGCTACCCCGGAAACTGAGATCTGAGGATCGTGGTTTGAAGCCAGCTCAGACAGGGAAAGCCCAAAAATCTCTTATCTCCAATTAACCACACACACACACACACACACACACACACACACACACACACACACACACACACACACACACACACACTCTCTCTCTCTCTCTCTCTCTCTCTCTCTCTCTCTCTCTCTCTCACACACACACAAAAGCTGAAATGGAGCTGTGGCTCAAGTGTACAGCACTAGCCTTGAGTATCAAAGCTCAGAGACAGTATCCAGGCCTTCAATTCAAGTCCCAGGACCAGCACAAAAAAGAAAAAAGAAAAAGAAAGAGAAAATGGGCTGGGAAGGTGGCTCAGTGGTAGAGCGCTTGCCTTGCATGCCTGAGGCCCTGGATTTGATTCTTCAGCACCACATAAGCAAAAAGAAAAAAGCCAGAAGTGGTGCTGTGGCTCAAGTGGTAGAGCGCTAGCCTTGAGTGAAGAGCTGAGGGACAGCGCCCAGGCTCAGAGTTCAGGCCCTACAACTGGACCCCCACCCCCCCAAAAAAAAAAAAAAAGAAAGAGAAAATAACAAGTGTACTTCTTTCCTAGAATCAAAATCCTAGCCACCCACTAATGCTACTGTCCAGAGGAAAAAGCCAGCGTCTTCTCTGTCCCCAACACCATTTACCTCATTGAACCAGGTCAGCTCTTTCCTAACAGACGCAGGTCCTACCTGCACACTTCAGAGTCCTAACAGTGCACGGAAACCAGCTCTTTCATACAGTGTCATGCTGGTGAGGCGGATGGTTTCTGGAGCAAATCATTTAATAAGTCTAAAACCCAGACTTCCTGGTCAAAATGTACAAAAAGCACCTCAAAAATGTTGGCACAAGCACCCCTGTATTCTTTGGGAGAGCTGAGGGAGTGGATATGAATGAATGAGTTCCTCACAAGAGCTGTCTGATGTTACTCCAGTCCACACACATCGTAGGTACTTTGGTGCTACAGTGCTCGTGAAATTTGTAGCCACAAGTCTGACATCGAAACCCATTTAGCAAGAACTTCTGACAAATGTCACAGAATGCAAGCTTCAGAAACGTCTTCCGAGCCTGTAACAGCAAAAATACAGGGGCAAAATTAGGTTGAATGAAAAATTGCCAAAGACAAAGCAATTTCTTAAAATTAAGTGTACTTTAGGGCTAATGAACTCCAAACTGCCTATGTAAACAACGGCATGCTTAATTAGAACCTGATAAACATCAATAATATACATGCTTATTACCGCTATTGTGTGAGGCAAGGATGTAACATGCCAGAGAGAGAGAGAGAGAGAGAGAGATGCAACTTACAAAGTTGTGTGTTGTGAGGGGAACATGATCCAGAAAATCTACTTGAAGTTCTTCTCCAATCAAAGAGGCAGCATCAGTATTCCAATCTAAACGTGCTTTTTTACTGAAAAAGATTTTTCGGAACATGAAAGGGCAATGTTGGAATAAGGTTCAATATGGGAACCTAACAGTAGCTGCCATTAATTGCATGCTTATCTAAATATGACTTATATGACTTACATAATCCACACGACAAACCCATAAAGTAGGTGTTGATTTTTTCTGCTTTTCTGTTTTGTTTTGTTTTTTGGTCTGGTCGTGGGGTCTGAACTCAGGGCCTGGGCGCTGTCCCTCAGCTCTTCAGCTGAAGGCTAGCACTCTACCACTTGAGCCATAGCGCCACTTCCGGCTTTTTTTTTTCTGGTTATGTGGTGCTGAAGAATCGAACCCAGAGCCTCAGGCATGCAAGGCAAGCGCTCTACCACTGAGCTACCTTCCCAATCCCTAGGTGTTGTTATTCTCAAGCTAAAAATGAGAAAACTGGAGCTCTATCAGGGTAATCCTCAGAGTGCAAGGACCTAGGATTGAATCCAGAGTCTACAACTAGGTAGCTAAAGAAGAGGCTGGCAAATTTGAAGCCCAAGTGAGTAATCACGGAGAGACCCTATCTCAAACACAAAACAGAACCCAGGCTTACTGGACTCCAAAGCTTAATACTTAGAATAAAGTTTTCTTAGCCAGGTGCCAGTGGCTCATGCCTCGAATCCTAGGATCTTAATTGGAAGCCAGCCCAGGCAAGAAAATCTGTGAAATTCCAATAAACTACTCAGAAAAAGCCAGAAGTGACTCTGTGGCTCAAGTGGTAGAGCACTGGCCTTGAACACAAAGAGGCTCAGGAACAGCAGCCAGGCCTGAGGTCAAGCCCCAGGATTGGCAAAATAATAATAATAATAATTTCTGTAAAGTGGGTCAGAAATATTACTACAGTGCTAAAAATGTATTTTTAATAGCCTTTTTTCAATCTAGAAGATACATAAATGGAAAGGAACCACAAATGCACTTTTCCATTAATAAATAACAGGCTTAAATCTACAGGGCTGTTTGCAGCATCTATAAAAATAAACATGACCCTCTGAAAAACGTAACTGTCTTTAAATTTTACTCGAGACCACTGTTTCTATGCATAGGATAAAAAAACAGAAAACTGTGATCCTTTAAAAGTAAAAAATTAAGCCCAGTCTACATCCATAGCACCCAAACCTACCCCACCAGTAAATAATCCATCCCCTAATAGAACTCATTCCCAATACGAGGTCACAGCAAGTCCTTATCATCTCAAACCCCATTTTATCCTAGAAGAGAACAGAGCACACTTTCTGATGGACCTGCAGGAGTTATTTTTTTTTTTTTTTTTTTGGGTCCGGTCATGGGGCCTGATCTCTGGGCCTGGGCACTGTCCCTCATCTCTTCAGCTCAAGACTAGTGCTCTACCACTTGAGCCACAGCGCCACTTCCGGCTTTTTTCTTTTTGCTTATGTGGTGCTGAGGAATCGAACCCAGGGCCTTGAGCATGCAAGGCAAGTGCTCTACCACTGAGCCACCTTCCCAGCCCCCTGCAGGAGTTATCTACTGCTAAGAGAGCCAGGCCCACTCCAAATATTCCCTGTCTCAGAATCTCTCTAGTCCTTCAGGAGTACCATGGATTGGCTTGGGAACCACCCTGCGGCTACATTGGGTTAAAGTCGACACCTGCTTCCAAAATTTGCATGTCACCAAGCTACCTCCTCAACCTAGAGAAATAAACACACTGAAGGCTGACCTGCTCCCTCTTCCCCATCCTCATAAAGTTGAGAGCTACTGGACTCATCAGAGATAAATGCTGAAGATCAGTAACAGGACGTGCTTCTTTCCCAAAGGAGGACAATAGACAGGCGGTAAGTTCAAGTTCTTGGTGGCGGACTTTCCTGAATTGTCTCCTGATAAACAAAGATCTAAAGATGCACAGAACTCTAAAGAAACCTAGGGTAACTGTTTTTAGTGGCACAAAGCTAGGCGATGCTTGTATTCTGAAGAAGGAGCTGTCAGACTGGTTCCTTACCCTTTGTGTCCGTGGAGAAGTCTGAACACAGCACAGCACTCTGGCTGGAGGCCCCGCACCTTGAGAGCTTTCCTAAGGCAATCATGCAGGCTCATTCCATTTCGCACATTGACCTACAGACAAAAGACCATCTTTAGAACCAACAAAGGCAAGTACAAGCTGGGCGCTGGTGGCTCACGCCTGTAATCCTAGCTATTCAGGAGACTGAGATCTGAGCATCAGGCAGGAAAGTCCAGTCCACAAGCCTCTTATCTCAAATTAAACTGAAATGCAGATCTGCAGTGCTTGTGAAACCTCGTGTGTACATCCCGGCTGAAGTACAACCCTGCTGGGGCCGTCCTAACCCTTCTTAGGCAGCCTTTTTCTGGATGACTTAAGACAGAAAAAAGCCCTCAAGAACGAAGTGGGCTGGAAGTGTGGCTTAAGGGTAGAAGGCTTGAGTTCAAACCCCAGGCCTCCCCTTCCCCTCCCCAAGGAGCAGGATGGAAACATCTGGGCATGCCCCATTACTAGTCTCAAAACAAGACACAGTGTTCAGATGCAAAGTAAGAGTTGTTCACAAAGCTTCATCTTGCTCTATCACTGGTCTGCTCTGAAGTGTAAGAGGGGCTGGCTCCCCACAGAACTAGCACAGCCTAGGGAACAAGTCAACTCAGGAGGTGACAGGACGGAAGAAGAGATTCTCCTGAGGGACCAATTACCAAGGGAGTAAAGAAGTAAGATTTTCCAAACTACAGGAGCTCATTTGGAGTTTATCACAAGAACCTGAAAAAAAAGAACTGGGAAAGTACACTACATAGGGTCAAAGGTCAATTGATTTTTTTTCACCCATACGAATTATCTATTTAAAAATAAAGTTAAGCTGGGTGCCAGTGGCTCACACCTGTAATCCTAGCTACTCAGGAGGCCAAGCTCTGAGGATCACAATTCAAAGCCAGCCCAGGCAGGTATGTCTGTGAGACTCTTATCTCCAATAAACCACTTGAAAACCAGAAGTGGCGCTGTGGCTCAAGCGACAGAGTGCTCGCCTTGAACTGAAGAGCACAGGGACAGCACCCAGGCCCAGAGTTCAAGCCCCATGACAGACCAATAAATAAATAAATAAATAAAAATAATAAAGTTAATATTCTTTAAAATTTTCTTGTATGTACCAAACTAGTTCAAACAAATGTTATCTTGGATTTATGTCGAAAGCAACTGGTAAAAGTCCAGTGATGGTGATTCACACCCATAATCCTAGCTACTCAGGAGGCTGAGATCTGAGGATCCAGGTTTGAAGCCAGCCCAGGCAGGAAAGTCAGTGAGACTCTTATCTCCAATTAAGAGGTACTATAGCTTAAGTGGTAGAGTGCTAACCCTGAGTTTTAAAAAAAGATCAGCTTGTGAAAAATACTGATTTCCAGCCTCTCTTTTAGTGTACCTGACTTAGTTATTTTGGAATAAACCACCTGCTCATATTATGAGGTGGTCCTAAAGGCAGTGGCTCTCAGCTCTGATCACACACTGAACTCATTCAGCAAGTCAAACAGGCATGTATACTTAAAAACAAAATGACAAGGCTGGGATAGTGCCACACACCTGTAATCTCAGCTAATTAAGAGGGTATTACAAGTCCAGGACTAGCTCGTGGCAGAGTTAATGAGATCCTACCTCAAAAATAAAAAATAAAGTGGCCAAAAGCATGGCTTAAGTGGTAGAGCACTTGCAAAGCCCTGAGCTCAATGCCCGATGCCCCCACCAGGCACAAAAAGCTTACTAATTATTACTTCAAAAATCATTTAAATTGGACACACATAGTGTATCTCTGTACTACTGCTCCCATGGAAACATACTGGACAAGCCAGTGCCCCTGTGGATACATGCTGGACAGGCCAGTGCCCCTGTGGATACATGCTGGACAGGCCAGTGTCCCCATGGATACATGCTGGACAGGCCAGTGTCCCCGTGGATACATGCTGGACAGGCCAGTGCCCCTGTGGATACACTGGACAGGCCAGTGCCCTGTGGATACATGCTGGACAGGCCAGTGCCCTGTGGATACATACTGGACAGGCCAGTGCCCCTGTGGATACATACTAGACAGGCCAGTGCCCCCGTGGATACATGCTGGACAGGCCAGTGCCCCCATGGATACATGCTGGACAGGCCAGTGTCCCCGTGGATACATACTGGACAGGCCAGTGCCCTGTGGATACATGCTGGACAGGCCAGTGCCCCTATGGATACACTGGACAGGCCAGTGCCCCTGTGGATACATGCTGGACAGGCCAGTGCCCCTATGGATACACTGGACAGGCCAGTGCCCCTGTGGATACATGCTGGGCAGGCCAGTGCCCCTGTGGATATACCGGACAGGCAGTTGTCCCCTGGATCTACACTGGAGCCCAGTGTGTGTTAGAACAGATGTATCAGGTTCCCTCAATGAAGATACCCGGAGTTCTCGGAAAGTGCTAGCTAGAAGGCAGCAACCTGTCCTCTACTCTACCATGGCTCCTCAGAGCTAGGCACCTGGGGAAAGATGGTTTTCCTGGCATATATTCAGGGCCCATCTTTTGGCCAAAAAAGAAACTGACTTTTTTTTTCCTGATAAAAGTAGCAGATGTCAAGCTTCTAACTTACTAAGTCCTAATCACATGCTATGGTCAGACAAAGCCAGTAAGGACTCCACACATGGATAAGGCATTCAGAAACAGTGGCAACTCCCTGCACCAGCCAATCAGCCATTGTGCTATAGCATAAGCCTCACTTCATAAAGGCCAGGAATCAGAAGTGCAAAATAACACATAGCTTGTCTAGCTGCCGCTGCTAATAAAAGGCAATGCAGGAGATTAAATTTAGGTCTGGTTGTCATAGATCCATGTTCCTGACCAGTGTGCCACATGAACTGTCTGGGCCTCTAGGCAAATAGGTAGTGAAGAAAGGAGAAGTCAGTATTCAAACACCCAGATTCCCATAACACTCACAACTCCCACTTGACGGCTCACTTTAAGGTCGGAAAGAAAAATAATGAGCAACAGTGGATGAAACTGGAGGCATGGCTCAGCAGTAGAGTGCCTATTTAGCAAACAAGGTTTCTGAGTTCACATCCCAGTACTGCCACAAAAAAATAAAATCACCTTACAACCAAAAGACCGCTATGCAAATACTTCTATTTTTAGCAAGGAAAACAAAAATAAGATATACTCTATACATCAGCTGGCCTTTTGTTTCGCCTTTAGTTCAAAAGGCACCTAAGTATATACATAATACAATTCAGAAGCTCTGTAGATCCACAAAAGGAATATAAAGAAGCTGGGTGCAGTGGACCAAGCCAGTAATCCTAGCTACATGGAAGGAGATTAGGGGATTGCAGTTTGAGGCCAACCCAGCATAAAAGCTTCTTGAGATTCCATCAAATGATGTGTGACACAGTAAGGCACCCATTAGTCCAGCTCACTGAGTCGGTACAGAGATGTGTGTCTGTCACCCCCAAAAAACAGGATGAACAGAGTAAAAGGATCACAGCCCAGGATGGCCCCAAGATAAAGCAAGACCTTACCTCTAAAATAACCAACCAAAAAAAAGGTTGTAGACTGTTGGCCTAGCAAGCGCAAGGCCTAGCGTTCCATCTCCAGTAAACTCCCCACCCTCAAAAGGAAAAAAGTATAAAGAAATTTATTAGCAAAGCAGGGAGAAGAAAGCCTATAGTATTAAACTTCTCTGCATTCAATTTCCCAATGTGAGCGCCTGTGTATGCAGAATAAAAACAATGCATGGAGCTTACACAAAGAATGCAAAAACTGGAAAAAAAAAAAAAAAAAAAGAAGTGTTGACATTTAAAACCGAAGTTTTCTCAAATTTCCCACCAAACTAAATCAACCCAATTCCACTTACCTGTTTCAGCCAAGTAGTTGTTTGTTTGTTTATAATTCAGAAGAACAGAAGGCTTTTTTTTTGGGGGGGGGGGTCCAGTCATGGGGCCTGAACTCTGGGCCTGAGCGCTGTCCCTCAGCTCTTCAGCTCAAGGCTAGTGCTCTACCAATTGAGCCACAGCAGCACTTCCAGCTTTTTTCTTTTTGCTTATATGGTGCTGAGAAATCAAACCCAGGGCCTCAGGCATGCAAGGCAAGTGCTCTACCACTGAGCCACCTTCCCAGCCCAACAGAAGGCTTTTTGAACAGTAAATTCTTAGAAAAATTTGAGATTCTGGTTAGGCACAGTGGCTCGTGTACATAATCCTACCTACTTTCACAAGATTCATGGTATAAGGCCAGTCTGGGCAAAAGGTTAGTAGGACCACATACATCTCAACAAAAAAGCTGGGCATGGTGGTAAAGGCTTGTGATCTCAGCTACCCAGGAGGCCCTAAGTAGGAGGTTTGTAGTTCTAGCTGGCCTGTTCAAAAAGACCCTACTTGAAACACAACTAAAGCAAAAAAAGGGCATGGCTCAAAATGGTAAAGCACCTGTCCAACAATTGTGAGGCCCTGAATTCAAATCCAGCACTTCAAAAAGAAAAACAGAGATTTTGTGTTAGAAAGCCCAGTGACCATATTCTATACCATGATGCAATCATGAGCCTGTCACTGGCACTTGAAAAATAAACTGTGCAGCACAAGGAATGATGCCCTGGAGAAGAGATAGCCACTAATTTCTTAAGCTAGCTATACTATCCTAGAAAATAAATTAAAATTATTTTTTCTAAGGTTTTTATTTTCTTCATACTTAATTAACTATAGTATCCAAAACTGTTGGGTACATATTTTTTGTCTATTAAACTGCCCTTTATTCGAGTTACATGTTTTTGGTTTTGGTGGGGGTACTGAGGCTTGAACTCAGGGCCTGTGTGCTATCTCTTAGCTTTTTTAGCTCAAGTTTGGCACTCTACCACTTGAGCCACCGCTCCATTTCTGTCTTCTGATGGTTAACTGGAGATTCATGGATGTTCCTGCACAGGCTGGCTTCAAACCATAATCCTCAGATCTCAGCCTCTTAAGTACTTGGATTATAAGCATTAGCCTCTGAGGCCTAGCATCAAGTTAGTTTTAATGAGCTAGAAAAATCTAAAGAAACTATTCAAAGCCTTAGAAATATCCCCCATAAGTGAATATGGTCAAAGTATTTCTAGCATTTGTAAAAGCGGAGCAATGAAACCAGCTGACATTGTTTTAAGATAAGGGGGAGGGGGGAGTGTGTATGAAAGGGTAAGAAGGCTGGTAAAGAAGGTGAGGTTGATGTGGAGGTACATCATATTCATGCATGGAAAAGTCACAACACCCCTTTCCTTGTAAAATTCATCGATGGTAATAAAACCTCTTAAAAAGCAAAAATCTTTATAAGCATGTACTATTTGGATGAAGAGGCAGGAAGGATGCATTTGGGTCAAAAGTAGTAACAAGGCCAAAAGTTGGGACAAAGTAGGGGATATGGAAGGGACAATTTAGTGAACAGAAAACTGCACCTGGAAATCTTAACTAATACTGACTTTCAGTAACAATGGGATTTTATCAGTCTGTAAGCTGGGCCGCTGAATTGACAATATTTTCTATAGGCCTACACAATAAAGAGCTACATTTTCTAACAGAAAGAGTCACATACCACTGTTCTTTGCTTATTTGGCAAGAAAACACGGATAGTGTTGCTTGTCTTAGAAGAATCTGTGAGTTTGCCATCATCTGACGCCCGGCGCTGATAGCCAAACTGCTGGACTATTGTTGGAGAGATGCAGCTGGAACCATCGAGCACTGCGTCTTTCAGTCCAAAACCATTGCTGATCGCCTTCCAGGCTCCCTGTACGTGCTCCATTGATGCAGCGCAGACAGTCCTAACCTGGGAAGAAAAGAAGTAACTCGCAATTCTAGAACAAAAGCACTTAATGTAGGACCACAATATGAAGACTAGTTGGGAAAATACTACTTTCTGGATTTTTTTTTTTTTTTTTGGCCAGTCCTGGGCTTCTTTTGCTCAAGGCCAGCACTCTACCACTTAAGCCACAGTGCCACTTCTGGCTTTTTCTGTGTATGTGGTACTGAGGAATCAAACCCAGGGCTTCATGCCTGCTAGGCAAGCACTCTACCACTACAACATTCCCAGCCCTGGATTTTTAAAAAAGTCATGAACTAACCAGAAAAGAGGGAAAAAAACCTATAACAGTATATTTCCATAAAGTATTTTATAAGAAAAGTTAAAACTAAGGGAAATGGGTTAAGGAAGTCAAGAGTTTATCAAGGGTTACATACATGGGTAGTTAAAATAAGCCAAGCTGGCCAGGCACTGGTGGTTCATGCCTGTAATCCTAGCTACTCAGGAGTAGATGTGAGGATTGTGGTTAAAAGCTAGCCCAGACAGGAAAGTCCATCCAACTCTTATCTCCAGTTAACTACCAGAAAACCAGAAGTGGTGCTGTTGCTCAAAAGGGACAGAGCATTAGCAAAAGAGATCAGAGACAGTAGCTAAGCCCCAAGTTCAAGCCCACGACCAGCTGCTCCAACAGAAGTGCTAGGCCACGCTGGCCAGGAACCTGCAAGCTCAGGACAAATAGGATACTTCTAACTTCCTCATCAAAACAACACAGTATGTCTTCATCATGTACTGAAGGGTAGACATCTGAAAACAAGAAAGAATCATCTTCCTAAAAGGCTGGCTCAGTGTGGCAGAGACATGGCCCTGGGTTCCATGCAGACACTACCCTCAAATGCTAAGGCAAGCCTAGCTTCTAACACTATTATCTCTGGCCTTGTTAAAATATACACCCACAAATGCAGATAAACATAGTTAAAAAAATGCTAAAACAAGATAGGCCAAATGCATTCTCCTAGTAATGTGAAGGCTAATTGTGTTCAATTATTTAAAGTAATACATATATCTTGCTATAAAGGATAACTATTCCTTATATACAAAGAACTTCTTTTTTTTTTTGGGGGGGGGGGTCTGGTCATGGGGCCTGAACTCTGGGCATGGGCGCTGTCCATCAGCTCTTTAGCTCAAGGCTAGCACTCTACCACTTGAGCCACAGCGCCACTTCCAGCTTTTTTCTTTTTGCTTATGTGGTGCTGAGGAATCGAACCCAGGGCCTCTGGCATGCAAGGCAAGTGCTCTACCACTGAGCCACCTTCCCAGCCCCTATATACAAAGAACTTCTAAAAATTGTTTTAAAAAGGTAAACAAAAAGAAAAAAGGTAAACAATGGTACAGGGAAAAAAACAAATTAAAATCACAGAAAAGAACATCCATAAACAGGCTATATATAAAATAACTAGAACTACAAGTACAGTGTAGGAAGGCTAAAGTAATAGAACCACATGAGCTCACAAGACCAACCTTGACAATACACCAACACCCCTACTCAAGAGAAACAGCAAGCCTAGACCCACTCTACTCCTCTCCATGCTGATCTCTAGTCTATTAGACAAGTGCCACAAGAGAACTAACACTACTGAAGGCAGGCTCTGAAAAACATGCTTTATGAGCTGCTTGGTGACAGAAAGAGTGGCTCCTGCAGGCGTCAAAGCTTTGTAGACACCCCATCCACATCATCAACTCGGAGTCTACATGAACTTCTCTGAGTCTACTTTCTCATCCCCAATACTTGAGGATAGCACATTCTACAAATCCACCAAAAAGTTTGCCTTTTATTGGCTTCACTGTTCATTCTCATCTCAAATTTGAGGATATACTTGCTTTTAATCATTTAATTCTCAATTTTATAGTATAAACTCTTCTTAAAACTGCATCTTTGGGACAATGATGGAAGGAGGAATGCTGATCAAGATGCACTGTATTCACTTAAAAGAAAAAACTACATCTTCTTTATTCAGGAGGCAAAGCAGAAGCCAGTCCATGCAAAGTTGAGACTATTACCTCAAAGAAGGGGAGGGGGCTGAGGTAGAATGCTTGTCTGGAAACCAGAAGGTCTTTGTAGGCTTCTGAAATACTTAGTTCAATACCCAGTAGAGAAACAAAACTTTAAAATCCATTTTTATTAATACAGCTAACTTTTGTCTTGATCTCTCAACCTCATTTGTTTTCTATGTGAGTATTCCTTTTTTAGAAAGTTAGAGGGTGGGGGCTGGGAAGGTGGCTCAGTGGTAGAGTACTTGCCTCCCATGCATGAGGCCCTGGGTTCAATTCCTCAGTACCACATAAACAGAAAAAGCCGGAAGTGGCGCTGTGGCTCAAGTCATAGAGTGCTAACCTTGAGCTAAAGAGCTGAGGGACAGTGCCCAGCCCAGAGTTCAAGCCCCAGGACTGGCACATACACACACACACACAGTTCAAGCCCCAGGACTGGCACATACACACACATACACACACACACAGTTCAAGCCCCAGGACTGGCACACACACACACACACACACACACACACACACACACACACACACACACACACACACACACACACACACACATAATTGGAAAAAAAAAAAAAAAAAGAGGGAATAACTATTCCCTTATTAAGTTAAAAGATGAAGTTATAAAAATGCCAAATACTAGTGAGTTTACAAACACCAAACTGCCAGAGTAAAAATACACACAGACCTGAATTCTGTAATCAGGGGACACACATACGAACTAAATGCCAAATCCCTAAACACCTAACCTGCTGTTGTCTTATCTTGTTTTTTGGGGTTTTTTTTGGCCAGTCCTGGGGCTTGAACTCAGGGCCTGGGCACTGTCTCTGAGCTCTTTTTGCTTAAGGCTAGCACTCTACCACTTGAGCCACAGCTCCACTTCTGGCTTTTGCTGTATATGTGGTTCTGAGGAATGGAACCCAGGGCTTCATGCATGCTAGGCAAGCACTCTACTAATAAGCCACATTCCCAGCCCCTAATTTATATCAACTACACTCTTTCCACCTCTTTGCAATATAACCATGCTAGTATATGGGTTCAACAGCCAGGAAAGGTATCTTCTTCGCCAATGGAATAGAATAGAAGATCCAGAAATAAGTCCACATGCCTACAGTCAGCTGATATTTGACAAAGGAGCCAAAGACATACAATGGAAGAAACACAGCCTCTTCAACCACTGGTGCTGGGAAAACTGGGCGGCCACATGCAGAAAACTAAAAGTGGACCCCAGTCTATTACCATGCACCAACATCAACTCAAAATGGATTAAAGACCTTAACATTAAACCTGAATCTCTGAAACTACTGCAGGACAGAGTAGGAGAGACACTTGAACTTATAGGCACAGGAAGAAACTTCCTGAACAGAGTCCCAGGGTCACAACAAATTGGAGAGAGACTCGACAAATGAGACTACCTTAAAATAAAAAGCTTCTGCACAGCTAAAGCTATTGCAACCAAGCTAGAAAGACAACCAACTAATTGGGAAAAAATATTTACCAGCAATATATCAGACAAGGAGTTAATATTCAGTATATATAGGGAACTCAAGAAACTAATCCCTCCCAAACCTAACAAACCAATTACCAAATGGGCAAGGGAACTAAAGAGAGACTTCTCAGATGAAAACATAAAAATGGCAAAGAAACACATGAGGAAATGATCACCATCCCTGGTTGTAAAGGAAATGCAAATAAAGACAACCCTGAGATACCACCTTACCCCAGTCAGAATGTCCCACATCCTCAAGTCAGCCAACAACAAATGCTGGAGGGGATGCAGAGAAAGAGGAACCCTATTACACTGCTGGTGGGAATGTACACTTACACAACCACTTTGAAAAGCAGTCTGGAGGGTCCTCAGAAAGCTAAATATTGACCTCCCTTATGACCCAGTCATACCACTTCTAGGCATCTATCCTGAACAACAGGAACCAGTATACAAGGACACATGCACCTCGTTTATTGCAGCACTGTTCACAATAGCCAGGATATGGAAACAACCCAGATGTCCCACCACACATGAATGGGTCCAAAAATTGTGGTATCTATACACAATGGAATATTATGCAGCCAATGAAAGGACAAAATAATGGCATTTGCAGGGAAATGGATGGAGCTAGAAGGAATCATGTTGAGCAAGGTAAGCCAAGAGCAAGGAGACAAACGGTACATGGTCTCCCTGATAAGTGGATGTTAAATCCAAAATGTTAGGTGATACGACAAAGTTAACAGGACTTAAGAAACAAAAGACTGGGCTAGGAAGGTGGCTCAGTGGTAGAGCATTTATTTGTCTTGCATGCATGAGGCCCTGGGTTTGATTCCTCAGCACCACATAAGCAAAAAGAAAAAAGCCGGAAGTAGCTCTGTGGCTCAAGTGGTAGAGCGCTAGCCTTGAGCTGAAGAGCTGAGGGACAGCGCCCAGGCCCAGAGTTCAGGCCCCACAACTGGACCCAAAAAAAAAAAAAAAAAGAAACAAAAGACTTCCACTCATCTGGTCAAATCACTACTAAATAACCCCATGCTGCTGATCACATGTATGGTGTATATGTGCACACCGGAGGGGAACCAGGAAGAGGACACAGAACTAGAGGGAATCAGGGAAAAACATACAACAGCGGGACCCATCAGCTGCACTGGACATGATCAAAATGAACTAAGCAACTCAATGGCAGCGATGGGAGGGAGGGAACAAGTGGGAAAGAGGGAACAGCTGATGCTATGCAAAACAAAAGAAATGTACATATCACCCAATGTGGAAGAAATAACTGCATTGTCAAAGCTCATAGAACTCATAAATGTTATAGACGATAGACAATTTGCTCCAGGAAAGTTAGAATGTGTTTATGACTTTAACTGAGCATCACTATCCCCCAATACTGTGAAATTTGGTAAATTATGTAACCACTTAATCACAATAAAAAATTTGAAAACAAAACAAAACAGAGTGTGAAGGAAGGGATAACATAGTCCCAAAATGT